CCTTCTTTCGTTTTTAAATACGTTCGTTTTTATTTACTTTTACTTTTTATTATTTATTTTATTATTTTAACTAATTTTTAAAGGTTTTTACCGGTTATTAACCGTAAAAAGTTAAAGACGATTTTAAAAATGACTTTTAAAATAAAAGGAAACTAAACGGTTACTAAAATTCACCGAGATTTAAAGAATAACGTTACTATTTTTTTAACTTTCAATCTTTAAACCTCGAATTTATAGAATTCGTCTTAAGATTAATATTATACTTTTTCTTTTAATCTTAAATTTAAACTTATTTATAAGTTTTAATATGTTTTTATTTATTTATTATTTAATTTAAATTCGTTACTAATTTATTAATAAATAACGTTACTTGTTAAATTTCGACCTTTATTTTATAAACTTTACGTTTTTTTTTAAATAATAAGGCCCTTTAATTTATATTAATAATAATATTATTATTAATACCGAATTTAAATGCTACACACAATACGTAGTACGTTACTAACTTCGAGATACCAGGTAACGGAACAAGAAATAAGGTCTTACATGAATTACGATTCAAAATACCGTACTATTGTGTAGGTCCTGAATAATAGTATAATATAATATGTGGTAAATGATTGTTGATTCTGTAAACTATTTACTTAAATTAAAGGTCGGAGAAAAGGCCTTAAGTGGCCGTCACATAGTCTTACTAAGTAGTGTGTGACTTAGTGTAATGTTAGACTCGCGTAAAGGGAGTCTACGTGTAATAACGACGAGTATTTACGGGTTATTTTTACTTAAAACGTTTATTCGTAAATATTACTTTTTTTATAACCGTTTTTTATTTATATCGTTCTTTTTTTATACGTAAGTAGAAAGATAATTAATTACTTAGTTAAATCTTTATTACAATTCGTTTTTACTTTCTTACTTATTATTTACTTTTAAATTTAATAAATGTTTTTTAAGTAAATTTTTTTTTTACTCGTAACAGAATCGTAACTCGTTTTTTCCCTTTTTTTTTTACTGTGTTTTTAAGTTTATAGAATATTTTTCGTTTATAAATTATTATTCGAGTTTTTTAATAACTTTTTTTCCTTCATATTTTATAGTTTATTCGTTTAAAATTCGTTTTTAATTAAAATATTTTTAATATACTTTTTAATATATTTAAACGTCATAAGTACGATAAAAATAAGTTTTTAAATAATATTATAACGAGACATATATAATAACATTTTTTACTCTTTTTATAATGCTATAAACGTCTCGAACTTAACCGTCTAATATTTTATAATTATATTAAACTATTATTTATTTAACGTATTATCTAACTCGTTACGTTATTTATTTACTTTTTTATATATTAATTAACTTGTAGTGTTAAAAGTTAAAAAGTACGTTTATATTTATACGACCGTTCGACGTATTATAATAAATTAATTATAAGTCGTTTATTAATTATTAAACCTTTTATTTGTAAATCAAATAATACGTTACCATCGAATTTTAACCGTCGAACTATACCACTAGGTTAGTTTTTTTTTTTATATATATTAACTAATATTTCGGTTTATTAAACAATATTACGTGTTAAAATTCGACGTATAATATGTTTAAAGCCTTCCTTAAATTTAAATCCCCTTTAATTTACGTTAATAATAATATTATTAACGAGGAATCCAAGGAGATTTTTATTAAAGAAGACGAATGGTTTATTATACGTGAATTAAAACACGTTTTCGAAGTCTTTCACGAACCTACGAAAAGGTTACAAAGCGAGGCGTATATTACCCTTTCTATTACTTTAATAAATATTTATTTAATATTTAAAACGTCAAGAAAGGTAAAAAATTCATATACGAATCGTCTTTCTTCGATAAGTTATTAATTTAATAACTATATTTTATTTTACCTTATTAATTTAATATTAATTATTATTTATAGGAACCTTAATTATTAGACTTAATCGATGTTATTTTAAATAGTATTATTAAGTTTAATAAATATTTTCCGTTTAATTTTATATCTAGTGATTTTTTTAAATTTAAACCTTATATAATAAGTTTAATTTTAGACACTAGACTTAAAATCCGTCACTTTACGAACTATAGGCTCTTTATAAACCCCAAGACTGAAAAAGTGGTTAAAAATATATTCTTTTTAAAATATAATTCGTAAGTTTTTTATTTTATTACTGTTTTATTTATTTTATTACCGTTTTATTTATATTATCAATTAATTACTAATTATTTAATTTAAAACGAAAGCTTAGAGTTAATACTTCTATTAATTCTGATATGTCTTTTGACGAATTAACTAGTAAAGACGAAAACGACGAAAATAACGATAACGACGAATTATTTATTCGTACTTTTAAGCGTTTAAACGAAGTTAACGTTTATTTACAAAAGTAATGTGAAGTCGAAGAAGTAAGTAATATTTTATTATTATTATTATTATTATTATTATTATTATTATTATTATTATTATTATTATTATTATTATTATTATTATTATTATTATTATTATTATTATTATTATTATTATTATTAACTGTTAATGTTATAGGTTAAACCACTTAATTATTAGAAAACGAATTTGGTGAAATATCCAGTATTAAGTGTTTTAACTAAACGGTATTTAACAATTCCTTTTACTTCTACAACTATTAAAAGGGTTTTTTCTATTAGTAATATTATCGGGTTACGATTTTTACCTAATACGGTTAAAAAGGTTATATTATTACGGTATTAGAAGGTTTCTAATATTAATAACCTTAATTCGTTATTATTTAACAATAATAAAGTAGATAGATAAAATACTATTTACCTTTTTTTTTAAGGGAACTTTATAAAGTAAACGTTTTTAAAGATTTTATTTTATTTTTTACGTTTTAAAACTCGAAATACTCTTTTTTTTAACTATTATACGGTTAATATAAATAATATGTTACGTATTTAACGTAAATATATAAAAATAAAATATTTTCGTATAATTACTGTAAAATAATAGTTAAAAATTCAAAAAAATAACTTTTATAAAACGTAATAAACGGTTTTAAAGTAGCACGTTTTAAAACGAATATTTTACTTTTGACGTTTTAAACCTTAAAATAATTATTTTATTATTAAGTAATATATATTTAATATAATAGTATATTATGTATTTAAGTAAAATATAATAAAAGAAAACGTTTTCGTATAAGTACCGTAAAATAATAGTTTAAAAGTAAACACTTACTTTTTAAAAACCGTAATAAACGTTTTAAAGTAACGCTTTTTAAAAGTAATATTTTCCTTTTTTTATTTTAAAACTCGAATTGATTTAAATTTTTATCAATATACCGTTATATTAATTGTTAATAGCGTATTTAACGTAAAAATATTAAAATAGAACGTTTTTGTATAATTACCGTCAAATAAAAATTAAAAAGTAAAAACTTACTTTTTACAAAACGTAATAAACGTTTTAAACGAATACGTTTTAAAATCGAAAATTTTACTTTTTAAATAATAAAAACCGAATTATTTTTATTTTTAAAATGTAAACGGTTAAAGCAGTAGTAAATAACGTATTTAGTTTAAATAAATTAAAATAAAAAGTATTTATATAATTACCGTTAAATAAAACTTTAAAAGTGAATTATTGTATTTTTTAAACGGAATATAAGCTTTTTAATTGATATATTTCTAAAACGTATATTTAAATTTTTATATTATAAATATCGTATTAGTTATATGTTTAAAAATATTACACTTTTAAAATGCTAAATTATTATTACACTTTATTAATACGTATTAAAATAATAATATTATAACGTAGTAAACTAAATAAATATAAAAAAAATTAATTATACTAGATTTAATTTTAATAACCCTCCCTAATAAGTTTAGTTATACTTAATTTAGTTTTACTAAAACTAAATCTAGTACAACTAATTCCTAACCCTAGTCATAAAATTAGTCCTCAACTACACGTTAACGTCACGTTAACGAAAAACCTTTCTCTTTAAATAATAAGACTTCTTTCTTCCTTTTAAGAAGAAGGGGTAAGAATTAATCTTTGTTATAATATACACTTACCTTCGTCCTCGAAACTAGTACTTTTTATTAACTAATCTACTATAAAGACTTATCATACAACTACTTATAATATTAAAGGTTACCTTTTAATTCGTAAAAAACAAAAAGAGTTAATGTTTTTTTATAAGTTTTATATAACTATTTTAACTACGTAAAAATTATTATTTAATATTTTTTTATAAGAAAAAACGGTAAAATTAAAAGCGCGAAAAAATCAAAGCTAAAATAAAACAACTATAAATATAATTCAATAAAAAGAAGTTAAAAAAAGGTTAAAAATTTAAGTATATTTAGGTTTTTAAAACTTTCCTTCAAACGACCATTTTATAATACGTTACCGTTAACGAAAGTTTTTTTATATATGTCATTAAAATAAAAAAGGATATAAAATTTTTATAGGGCTTTCTTAACTCCGTCGCCGGTTGTGTTAAGGCTCGTAGGCGACATTAAAACTTGTTAAAAACCTTCCTTCTCCCCTCGTGTAGGGTCGGGGTCTTAATTGAGCCCTGGCCTTCCTTGACTACGGGTAAGCTCGGCAGGCGATTACTTGTCTGTCGTATCTGTTTCTTTTAACACCTTTACCCTCGAAAAACACCTATAATATGAACGACACGTTAACGATTTTTTTTTTTCAATAAAACTCCCTTCTTCCTCTCAAGAAAAAAGGTTAAGAATTAGTCTCTGTTACAATACACACCTACCTCCGCCCTCGTAACTGACTTCTTAACAACTAATTTATCGTGAAGACCTATCCACTTAACACATAACATTATCCTAGGTGTCCGCGGCCGTATTACTGGCTTATAACCTTACAACATACACCCCACGCCTCTTAGTAATACCGATCAAACTCCCTAAATGTCGCCCGCTTCTCACAAGTTCTCGCAACATTGCTGACGGGCCGGGTGATGCAGCCGAGAGCCAATATAATTAGGCTTTGCAGGCGACAAAATTGTCACCACTTGCACCGGTGTGCGTGATTAAACTGTCAAAGTTTCCGTTCGAGTCGAAAATGACTCTGTCGGCCCCAGGCGAGCCACCCGAGTAGACCTGGAAGCTCGAAAGAATAGGAAATTCGTACCACGGCGCAGAAGTCGGGAAGCTGAAGCCCTCGTAGTCGTTGTACTGGTGGGGGTATTTGTCCGAACCTTTTTAATTTGGACGAGAAGGATCGATTTAGCGCCATGTTGCATCGCTTGAGAATGTCCATGTTGAAAACGATTCAGCACTTACCAAGAGTTTTTCCAGACTGATAGAGGGAGTAGCCTTTTGCGAGCGCTGCATCAATATCCTCCTGCCAATAACAAACGCTGCCGCACGTATAGACACAGCTGGCGCGTGATGAGACTGGCTTGGAGGTGACCACGCTCGCCAAGGCAGACAAGCCAAGCACCAAGACCGACGTAGAGAGCATCTAGCAGCGGGAGGAACGCATATGATTAGCAAGGCATGATTGAATGCAACCATATGTGACGCCATATAAGGTGTAGAGGAGAGACGGGGTGCGTGGTATCTTACTCTGTAGGTAGTTGTTTTAAAAAGTCACTGACTTCCGAAAATATGACACAACGGACGAAAGATCACAGCGTGGTATATTGGTAGAGCACATACGTAGTATGAATGACCTGCTGTTAAGAATGGGAGCGTCAGAGGGTCACGCAATAGAAAACAAAAACGCAGAGGACAATGAATAGTGTTTTATACTTGAACAATGGAAAGACGGGGCAAGGAGCAAGAACGGCGGGGAGGTCGAAGGAACCGACGTTTGTGAACTATGTACACTGCAAGATAAGGCCAAAACCTCTGTCGTTCTCCCACGCCTACTCAGGTTACGTGGGATGGGAGACGGGAGAGAACGAAACGGCCACACCCTTCCGGCTTGGAGAGCCCATCACAGCATGTGCCTGTGCACGACGCTTGCGGATTGGACTGGAAGAGATCGTGCGGCAGAACGGGGTTTGAGTTCTCACTGCGATCGTCAAATATTGAGGGGACGCATCCTTCCATATCTGGCCTTCTCCCGTGCGCCTCTGCAAGGCCGAAAAAAAAAGAGGAAGGTGATAGCCGGCGCTACCTGCGCTTTGTATTTCTAAAAGATCAAATACCATTTCGGTCGCCTCTTTTGGACGTTGATTTCGGAGACTTGTACTCCTTGCGCCCAAGTCTGAGACGCTGGCGGTGTACTGGACAGAGCAGCACTGTTGGACCTGCACCGGCTATTGGTCGCCCACTTTTGATTCTGGTAGCCAACCCTTGTTGTTGACGAGGGGCCCTGGAGTAGCAAGCCGAGTGAGTGTCGATCGCTGCCGTCGATCGCCACCTATCAAAAACGTTATCTGGATCACCCAGGCCCTGTGCTATTTGTACTTACATCGTACCGTGTACATAAAAATCTAACCGCCGTCAACCAAAATTCACTCCCGCCATAACATGCGAAACAATTGCACACTAGGGAGCGTGATACTGGCCACATCTCTGCAGTCTTAAAAAAGCAACCATTCACCCCAATTAGCTGCTTTGGACAATAAACTATGTTCGTCGTAATATGTCTTTTATATAAAGCACGTGGTGAATGGAAGGGACTTTATGGCAACTCCGACGGAGCGGCACAAGCACGCTCTTCGTGAGAACACGTACATATAGCATATTGTTGCGCTTCATTAGATTGACACTACAGAAATACGACAAAGCCTGCCGCAGTCTAACAAGAGTACATGTTCACATGCTGTGCGCACGAACCGCCGAGAAGGAAGCCGACGGACGACATCCGACCCATCTCCTGCCACGCATCCTACACCTCAGAAAACATAGCCCTTGCAGATCGCCGGCGTAGATAAGGAAGAGAGGTAAGGGACACAAGAAACATCAGGTGTTTAAGTGCATCCGCACAATCAGATAATCTCACAATCATTTGCAAGTACTGCCCATCTTAAGAAGTGAATCCAGACCAAACGTCGCCGCCAGGGCATTTGTAAGTCGTTGCTGTGCTTGAGTAAATGTCAATCTAAAAAAAAAAAAAAATTAGTCCCCAAGACGCCAGAAAGGGCATGACGGCAGGATGCAAAGCAGTCGCACGAGCTTTTGAAGCACAGGGGTTCTTACCATCACTCCGGGGTCGGTCATAGATGCATATGTCGGAATGCTATACATGTGGTTCGCCGGGGGCAGTGCCGTACCACTACCCGACACCACCAACTGGGCACACTCCGGGTAGAACTGTGGCGTATTGGTCTGGTGCAAAGCTAGCAGTTCATGGCGGATCAGATAGTTCCCTGGCGCAAGCTGCTTGGGAATGACACTGGACCATTTGAGGTTCTTACACACCACCGCAGTGCCCCAGTTGGCACTTGTGAGAGGTGGCGCAGTAAGGCCCAGTTGATCAATCTTAAACCAGTTCTTGCCAGATCCTGTACACGACGAGAAGTCACCTTCACACTTGTACATCCACACCATCACAGGGCCCTGTTGATGCGTCCATTGCTTCCACACTGCCGTGATATTGTCACCCGCAGCGATAGGTGCCGAGAGCTGTGCTGATGTGCCACCGTTGCACGTCATCATAGGGCTGGTCGATGACAGGATCGGATTGTAGTCGGGCCATTGCCGCTGGATGGTCGGTCCAGAAGTCGATGGCGCGAACCCGTCGTAGCCATTGTATGTCTTTCCGCCGATGACGTAGCTTGTAACAGCACCGTGGCCCGCTGCCAGCGATACCAGGGAGAGAAGAGGTAAGATATGCAAATCCTTCATCTTGAATTTGGGACCGCCGGTGTAAGGCTAAGAGAGATTCAGGGGGCGGGGGGTAGGGCGAGACGATGATATAGAAGGGGATTCCTGGATTTGCAAAGAACAGTTCTTGGGGTTGGAAGTCGAGGACTATGGCGAAACGAAAAGAAGAGAAAGAATACTCCTGGCAAATACTCTGGGCTTTATACCTCCTGGGGAGCGTTTGAGCGGACCATCAGCCACTGGTATTACTACACGATTGTCACAGTTACTGCTATACTGACGGCTAGTTCGGCACAGAAGCTACGGCATGTCGTGAGTATTTGGCCGTCCCGGGAGAACAAACCTTGAAGACGGATACAGAATTGTGTGAAGGCATGCTATGAGTGGCTTCTGACTTTAATCAGTGCATATGGCCTTCAACTCCCTGGCGTTTCTGCTATGAGTGCATATCAAAGACGTATGGAAACGTAAGAACGTAGGATGGCAGAGCACGTTTGACCAGGTAAACTGGGTTGGGTTGTTGTCCACTGCACGGAAGCTATGTTCTCGATGCCGTTCGCCCAGGTAGCCTATGTCCGCGTGCCGGGAGCCGAAGAGGTGAGTATACATGCTGTTTACCGCAGAGTAAGCTTGGTTTTAGTTCGTCCAACGGGGGACTAGAAAGTAAGACAACACAACCACGAACGCAACGAATAACGAATAAACAAGCGTCTCGTAGCCTTGTTGTCGTACACCGGCGGATGACACCTCCGAGCAAGGTTGCCAGCATGTGTGTACGGATCCATGTCGGGAGCAAAAACAGGGCCGGTCGGCCCGCCATCGTACCTAGCTTGCTGCTTCTTGTGTGACTCTTGGAGGCCGATAGGTAAGAAACGACCGGCATCTCGTAGCCGTCTGTGCCACACTGGTTGCTTCCCTGTGGACTATATTGGGCGTGGAGGGCATGCGATGGCGGAGATTGCGGGGGCAATCTATCCGAGGGGGGCAGAGAAACATGCTCACCGTACTAAACATGTACGCAGTAGCATGGGTATGGTATCCTGGTGTGTGTTTGTAAACAACCACATGCTGGGAGGCTTGGCCGCATGTCTCCCGCTGCGTGTAGAGACGGCCTCGCCCAAGGAGTTGGAAACTGGATGGGTTGGAGTGTTCCTTGTATGGATAAACGGGAGTGTGACGGTACGATGCGGTTGTCGGAGCGTACTTTTCCGGGGACGACCAGGTTGTCTGAAAACAGCTCATGTTGACGCAACGTTGGGGGAGAAATATATTGCAGGTGTCCCCATGACGTTCCGGATGGATAGCCTCCGTACATAATTATGGTACTAGTGAACATAAACCACGTTAGTAGGAGCCGTATCAAATTGAGTTAAGGGTCCTATAGTCTAGCGGTTAGGACATTGGATTCTGATCACTACTGATCTTAATTTCCAGTAGCCCCGGTTCGATTCCGGGTAGGACCTTTTTATAAACTTACAAGACATTAGTCGTTCTTTTTGCTTTGGGGCTTTTTTGGGTACCTTTGGTAAACTTCCGTCTCCAAATATGCGTTGCTTTGGCGTAAGCGATTATCTTTTACTTTTATCCTTTCCTTTACTAGTCGGTTTTTTTATATTCATCATGTTTTTAATATTGCTCATATGGTCATTTGATTATTTGGTTATTTGTAGTTTTCCAACGTTCCTTCACACATACAATGTATGATTTCTGTGTTTCCCCCCTGTCGTTTACATAGAAAACAACCTTCTCCGAAGGGAACAGACCAACGACACGAGAGGGTCACAAGGACCGTAGGGGCAGTGACTTGGTCGACGCAGTGAAGAGGTCACCGATGTATTGGAATTTCATCATCTTACTGCCAAGCCGAACTTCCCACATGCCACTGTAAGGTTGTATTCGTTGATAAGAAACGACATACTCTTGGACACAACTCCCAAGCGGAAACATCAGACTCTACACAGTCCAAGACAAGTTGGCACGAACCGATCATCCAACATATACTGAAGCGACAGTATCGCTGCATGACGAAACCACGAGACCAAAGCTTCGATAAGAGCATAGACATATAGACAAGGCACAGTGAACAACATTTTCTTGCCTTGCCAACGACCGACCTTCTCACAAATAAGGCGACTGTTTAATGCACGCAAGACAGGAAATAGTGACTATATTGCGGTGATTCCACTAATCTGGTTCAACATGGCATAGTCACTCGCCGTCGAAACCATAAATATCTGCGCCGACTTGTCATGCTCATAACTTGTAACAGATCTGCACGAAGAGTGAGGGTCAGCTAGTTGCTCCCGCTGGATCGTACCGCCCTGACGCCAGATTCCTGAGCTCAAAATACTTAGCTAGTTGTCCACTGGCGGCCCCCCCCGCGCGGCGCGAGACTATGCGTAGAGTTACAATGTGGGCGTGCTAAGTCAACCGGTCTATGCTCCCGCCAATGTCCCCGGTCGATTCTTGGCGTGTGAGGGTGAGGGGTCTGTGGATGATGTAAAGCAAGACTTTTTCCAAAAGCGATGCAGATTCCGGGCTTCCGGGCCCGTGCATGGCTACTCAGGTCGTTGGAATATACTACGCAAAAGCTATACTTGTGTTCCGACGGCGCCGTGTTCGTGCGCGGTACGATCAACCGGTCACACCCCCCATTGGTTATCACACTCTGCTAGCAACAATTCAATACCCATGGCGACGGTACTGTCATTAGGCTGTATGTCCTGTTTTCCAACCCAGCACGATGCTAAAATGGACCACCAATGTTTCATACATGGACTGGCTGGCAGCTATGACAAGGCATATCCTGGTACAGTACCGCCTGCCACCAGTACCTTTGATTTCTGCGGCATGTGTTTCGGCAATCCGTATATGGCTACTGGGTTGCTCCGTGCGACAACACACCGGTGCCGCGTGCCATCATATCCAGATGGAACTTGACAAATGACGTGTTAGAGACTTGCCCCAGCGGTATGCACAAATTGAGTTGGTAACGGATCCCAGTCGATTGCTAAGCGTCAGGGATGCTGGGCCGTGAGGATTCTGAAGGGTGATTGAAACTTGGGGAAAAGCAGATGGTAGCTATCCATGAGTGTTAAGCGAAGATTTGACGAGAAGCAATTCGAAAAGAACATGGGACGCCGGTGGGACAATTGCTTGAACCTCTTTGGCCTTGAACACCACTGGCTTCGAAATTCATCTCTTGCCACAGATGTTGTAATTTGCTCTGTTATGACTTTAACCGACCACAGACTGGTACGATATGCCGGTTCACGTGTCAGAAGTATCGATACCTTTAAGATGGGTTGGAATCGGCGTGTCTAACCTCGCATTAGCTCAAGCTGTAGGTGTATATTGTAATAATGTTGCATTATATGCGTTTTATAAAGGATTATGATTACTAGGTACGAGAGCAGGTAAACAGGCAATGGTTGATAATCAAGATTTTAAGAAAACCGGGTTATGCACAAACGACCCGACTATCTCGAACGGCCCTGTACAAGGCATATCACCCAACGACATCATGTATGACACGTAGACCTGGCATCTTATCGGACTACCGAGTCCGATGTTTAATCGGCATGTCACGACGGACAAGGACGATGGCTCGTATTGGTATCTATTGGTAGTTGTAGCCAGGGCTTCATAACGTATAAACTCACCAAATTTGGATGGCTTCGTGATCTATGGTGCAAAGCATAATTGGATATGAAATTCAAACGTGCCTAAAGGAGAATGAAACAATGATATTCTACCCTACCCGCTTTGCTTCCTGTGAAGCTCCGGGAATGCGGAGCGGCCGTCTCGGATCATTTCTACCCGCTCTTCGCGGTTCATCAGTCCAACTGGGCGAGACTGACCCCACCGTACTCTCAAGGGACAGCCCGCAATCACTGTGCGCCCCCGGCATGCTGCAGATGCTTTCTCGGCCGCTTCCCTGCTGTCGTAATTGATGAATGCGCAATGCGACATGTGCGAGCAGATAAGAGACCGAATTTTGCCATGTACTTTAAAATGGTCCCGGATCTTATATTCAGGCAGATCATCCTCAACACCAGTCACAAAAAGGGACATAATGCTTTCATCGGCTGGTGGCAGCCAGTCCTTGGGACCTGGTGGAGGTAGTGATGCTGGTCCCTTTCGGGAACCGGTAGCTGAACGTCCAGGACCTGCCCCCGCTGCCTGCGCCGCTCTTGAGTCCCGGGTCCGGATTGGACGAGGTCCACCAGCGCCTGCACCAGTGGCCACATCGCCTCCCGTTGCCGACGGAGCCGACAGAGAGCCACCCCCAGGGGCGCCAAGTCGCTTCTGCGCGCCGTGCGTCGTGTGGGACAGTGGTTTGCCGCCCTCATCGACTTGCCGACCTTTCCGAAAGTAGGGCTTACTCTGCGCAAGACGCTGAAGTAGCTCTCTGGCCTTGTCGTCTGTCTGTTCGTACTCTTCTGTCCCAAGAAGACCTTTCTCAATAGCCTCGCCATTGTTCTGCGCAAAGTATTCTCTGTTGATTTCCGAAGAAGGCCCAGGGGCAACCATTTTTAAGGCGGCATCACGCACGGCTATCGGAAGGCCAAACGAAAGGTCAAGGGTGCATGATTGGCAGCAGTTTTTTAATCGCGCACAAGTCAAGCAGATCGTGGTGCGCTTCTTCCGTCCGTGGGCACGGCTAGCTGGCCAGCTGAAGACTGTAAATGGTCGTGTGCAAAGCTTACACTCGGCACCGTAGTCTTCTTTGAGCATTCGAACGTAAGGGTTTTCGGGGAGGCAGTTTTCACAAACCGATGGGAAGTCCGTGGCCTCCCATCCTGATCGATTGATGTCGGATTTGATCTGCGCTGGCGGCATCGTGAAACGGAGTATACAAACGCGCAGAGTTGGTTGAAAGTGAAAGAACTATAACCAAGCGTCGAGTTGTCGTTGGACAAAAAAAGACGTTAAGGGGACGAAGAGTTGGCCTGTCTTTATGAGAGATGTACTGCAAGGCGACGCGATGAGCTTCAAGTTGGAAAAAGTGGCGACTGTTTGCCAACCGGCTCTCAATGATGAGATGGAGGTGGCAAACTTTAGACATTTCACACCTATGAAAGTATCACGTGACCTTTACATCCGATACGATATCACGGGACCTGGCGTTTACTCCGTGTCTACCTCGTAATCGTAAGAACACGTACGACGGACGACACTACACAAAACAAAATACACCACGGCGATATTTCTCTGCTCCGTATATGTGGTTGATCTCCCCTTAAGATGAGATCCTGACTGTATCGAAAAAAGTCTATGTCGTAGAGCTAAACGTAACCCCGGTGTGCTAGGTCTCATGTACATCTGTTCAAGAGCTTAAAGTACTTAAAAAGGCTTTATAAATGGCAACTGCTACATGAGGGTCGATAGAAGTACGTCTCAATGTACGACATATGTTATTTAAGGCTGGGGAGGATTTACGTGACTAGTGATCAGCGGCTTGCGCGCTGAACGAAATTGCTAGCCGTGAAACAGTACCTTGGTGTTGTCTACTGTACGTATTCGTACGTGCTACCTTACACAGTAGTTCTTATTCGTATTCGCACCTTTTTGTTCTAGAATCCCACGTGAAGAAAAGGAGGTTGCAAAAGTGGGACGGTCTTAGCGCGAGTACGAATTGGTACGAGTACGGTCACCGCCTTCACTTATTTACCCCTGGCACAAAAAGTTGAAAGAGGACGTTAAATATCTGCGTATTTCGTCTCGTAAATTTAGCCTGCTCGCATTGAGACACGCTCGAATTGACAATCATTCACTTTCTCAACATTTGCCAACAACTAGAACATCTTACCTTTCGAACCCCCAACTACAACCATCATGCCTGCAGTCAAGAAAGGTCTCGAGGCCGAGAATCACCAGCGGGATGCTGCTTTCAACCGGGTTCTGCACGGCTCCTCGGCGCAAGCAAAAGGCGGCATCTCTGCTATGTTCACGAAAGACCGCGAGGCAAAGAAGCTGGCCGTAGACGAGTACTTTAAGCACTTCGACAATAAGAAGGCTGAGAACGAGACAAAGGAAGACCGCGAGGTATGTCGATCAGCCCTTGATAGTCCCATGCAGTTCTAGTTGACAGTCGTCGCATGGTTTGCCGACTTCAATTGGTATTTTTTTTGGTTGCTAATCCCATCGTCGCATGTAGTCTCGTACCAATGAATACGCCAGCTTGACTAGACAGTATGATGAGCGGCCTCCCTTGAATACATAACTCCTACCCCGCTGAACGTGGCTAACCGAATTTTCTCGGCGACAGCTACTATAACCTTGCTACGGATATCTACGAGTACGGATGGGGCCAGAGCTTCCATTTCTGCCGTTTCTCCATTGGCGAGCCTTTTTACCAGGCTATTGCACGGCACGAGCACTACCTGGCCCACAAGATTGGCATCAACGAGGGCATGAAGGTGCTTGACGTCGGCTGTGGTGTTGGTGGCCCGGCACGCGAGATTGCCAAGTTTACGGGTGCCCACATCACGGGTCTGAACAACAACGACTACCAGATCGAGCGCGCCACGCACTACGCGGTGAAGGAGAAGCTGTCTAACCAGCTGAAGTTTGTCAAGGGCGATTTCATGGTAGGAAAGCCGGCACTGGCACACTCTGCCCCTCTCGATGAATCCGTTTAGTTTTGTGCTGACCCTGTGTCTTCGCATTTTAGCAAATGTCGTTCCCGGACAACTCGTTCGATGCCGTTTATGCCATTGAGGCCACGGTCCACGCCCCCCGGCTGGATGGCGTTTATGGCGAGATTTTCCGGGTCCTGAAGCCTGGCGGCGTTTTTGGCGTGTACGAGTGGCTGATGACGGACGACTATGACAACGACAACGTGGAGCACCGCGACATTCGGCTGGGTATTGAGCTTGGCAACGGTATTTCCAATATGTGCAAGATCTCCGAGGGCCTGGAGGCGATGAAGACCGTTGGTTTTGAAATTCTGGAGCACGAGGATCTGGCAGTGCGCGATGACCCTCTGCCGTGGTACTGGCCTCTTTCGGGGGAGATGAAGTATCTGCAGACGTGGGGCGATCTGTTCACGATCTTGCGCATGACGCATACGGCCCGTTTCTTCTTGCACGGCTTTACGGGCATCCTGGAAAAGGTTGGCCTTGCTCCGGCTGGTACGCGGAAGACGGCTGATGCGCTCGGCACCGGCGGTGACTGTCTTGTTGCGGGCGCGCGCGCGAATCTTTTCACGCCGATGTACCTAATGGTCGGACGCAAGCCCGCAAACTGAGAACACAGCGCCGTGTATACAGTGCTTATAGACTACCCAGGCCGAACAGGCGCAGGGCTTTGTTTAGGAAAGAGGACGGACGCACAGGGATGGAGGAGTGTAGCCGAGATAATGTGGAGGACCTGTCGGCGACATTTATCGTGTGGGCCCGGGCCAGGCCGGGGTATGCGATCTTCAAAATAATAGCTACTAATAAAAACTATAGATGCCAAGGAGTATTCTTTTGGTTTCTATTTATGTCGTGCAACATGACCAATGGCCAAGTCGCGTCTCAATGATGTGTACGCCGTCCTCGAAACAGTGAGTATTGCAAGCGTTCCAGGTGTGACCCAGGATAGGGGTCTCGTGGTCTACCAGGATGCTTTGCCGACCAGGACGCAAATTTTGAAGAAGCAGCCAATTTATTTTGTAGAGAGCAGATAGTCATTCTGTCAGATTGAAAAGCCACGAGGAATGTGATGAGCCAGTCTCGGGATTGGCTTTGTGTAGGGTTAGGTAGTTATTGTATGAAAAGCTTGGACAAGTTTGTCCAACGGAAGTCCGATCACTTTTTCTCGCCTAGCCGTGTCGTTCCGTTCCAGAGGCTGACCGCCGGGTGTGCAACGAAAGCGATTATTCACGCACACGATGTGCGACAACGGCAACCACCTCTGGCCTGCATGGCTGGCGACGGCTTTAGGCGGGAGTTGACGAGGTCTTTCACTGGGTTAGGTGGGTCGTCGTGTCTATTATAGCGTCCTAATTGGCGTTTGTGGGAGATGGAGCTCACCACCTGTCGGTACTATTCGTCCCGAGTTCGCAGGACTGTCTTTCTAGCGAGAATTCCCCCAACAATAGAAAATAAAAAAAATTAACCACGCACTTAGAGGCCCACTATTTCCCGTCTCGGGCACGCCAATTGGTTCTTTTAGCTGAATGTCCTAGGTAGGCATAGGAGAGCACCTCGTTTTATCTTCCATGCCTACTTCCCGCTTGCTCCCGCTTGCTAAAGTATCCCTTTTCTTTCTGCGTCGACGACATTTTGTCTTTTCTCGTCCATCGCCGCGTACAACTGCACCGCCCAACCAACCGCCGTACTTATCCGTCTTGTTGTCCATCCCATTCCGTCGAGCCTTCGCTCATCTTGCTTTGCTTCGTCTTCTTTTGACCCCTTTTCTCTCCTTGCCCGTCGTCTCCCTGAGGTTCGCGAGAGTCTGGCCTTCGTTTTGCCATTGCGTCGTCCCTCTTCGGCCCTCATCATGTCCCGCTGCATCCGCCCGCTTGGCCGCCTGGCCGCCTCTCTCGGCTCCCAGACGACGGCCCTGAAGACTGCTCGCTCGCCGTTCTCTTCCAACACTCTCCGTTCCCTAGGGGCCGTCTCACAGTCCGGCAACCCCTTGGTAGCCGGCTGGTCCGCGTCTCAGAGAAGGTCTTACGCGTCGACATCTGGCACCAAGGAGTACACAGTGCGTGAGGCGCTGAACGAGGCCCTTGCTGAGGAACTTGAGACGAATCCCAAGGTCTTTGTCCTGGGTGAGGAGGTTGCGCAGTACAACGGTGCGTACAAGGTCACGAAGGGCCTGCTCGACCGCTTCGGCGAGAAGCGCATTATTGATACCCCGATCACCGAGTCTGGTTTCTGTGGTCTTGCTGTCGGTGCCGCGTTGAGCGGCCTTCACCCCGTGGTATGTGTTTTTTCTCCGTCTCCGTTGTAATGGACTGGAGCGGGAGCTTTCTTGGCCTTGATTTGTTTTGCGAAAAGTTGCTAACTATTTCCCTCCCTTTTCTTATAGTGCGAGTTCATGACCTTCAACTTTGCCATGCAGGCAATTGACCAGATTGTCAACTCGGCTGCCAAAACCCTTTACATGTCTGGTGGCATCCAGCCTTGTAACATCACCTTCCGCGGCCCCAACGGTTTTGCCGCCGGTGTTGCTGCCCAGCACTCGCAGGACTACAGCGCGTGGTACGGAAGCATTCCTGGTCTCAAGGTTGTTTCGCCCTGGAGCGCGGAGGACGCCAAGGGTCTGCTGAAGGCTGCCATCCGTGATCCCAACCCCGTTGTCGTTCTGGAGAACGAACTCATGTACGGCCAGTCCTTCCCCATGTCTGAGGCTGCTCAGAAGGACGATTTCGTCATCCCCTTTGGCAAGGCCAAGGTGGAGCGCGCCGGTAAGGACCTTACCATGGTGACTCTTTCGCGCTGCGTTGGCCAGACCCTGGCTGCGGCAGAGAACTTGAAGAAGAACTACGGAATCGAGGCCGAAGTGATCAACCTGCGTTCCATTAAGCCCCTGGACATTGATGCCATTGTCAAGTCTGTGAAGAAGACACACCGCCTGGTCTGTGTAGAGTCTGGATACCCGGCCTTTGGAGTTGGTGCTGAGATCCTTGCCCTGACCATGGAGTATGCGTTCGACTACCTCGATGCCCCTGCCCAGCGCATTACTGGCGCTGAGGTGCCGACCCCTTACGCCCAGAAGCTCGAGGAGCTGAGCTTCCCGACGGAGGACCTCATCGAGAAGTTTGCCGCCAAGCTTCTGCGTGTCTAGGCTCAGATAACAAGGTGATGGAATGGGCGGGGATCACCGACGCGGCCAGCAATCCTGAGGGGGATATGGCTCTCTTTGTGTGTGCTTTATTCCTAGTGTGTAATATATGCGTCTGTACTAGAATAAATAATACTACCTCTTGCGACATTCGGACAAATAATTATCTCCGAGCAATTCACAACAATCGACAATCGACACACAACGATCTACGTGTATCCTGCTAGCCAGGTGAACGAAGTGTGCGATGTATCGCAGAACCACACGATGCATATATTTTTGAAACAGTATTTGAAATTGGGCAGCCCTCCGCTCACGTAGGTCTTCACGGTTGATGCTGCCGGCCGATGACGTGCTCACCTGGTGCCTACCATTCGTTTGACGCAGCCATGCAGGACGACCATGTAGCATCACCAAGTATTGTGGAGGTAAGGACCAAACTCGATTGTGCACCGTCCAAATCACAGGCATTGTTGAGTCGCATCCCAATAGGTGCCAATGGCGCGTCCAAGTTACACTATTTTGCTGCAGCTGGGAGTGATTGGTCTGCTACGAAGCTGCGAGTTTGCGTGGGTCGTGTTTCGTGTGCTATATCTGGGAACGGTTTATGCACGCTCGGACATTTATGACCACGAACCTAACGAAGCGTAGCAATTGAAAAAAAAAATATAGCCATACGCAGTAAGAGAGCGAGAAGAAAGCAAAGAAACAGCGCCATCACGGCAGTGCCCGCTATACAGACTATTCGCCGTGCAGAGGGATCGACCGCCCAACTTGATGCCTTTCCAGCTGCCAGTGTTAAATGGCCTGCGTTGTAATGCATATTCTCCGCTACAAGTCTTGGTTTTGTGCAGGGTCGGGACCGAACAGTGCCAGATCTCTCCGGAGGTGGAAAGGAAATGACGCTGGGCATGTGTAGAACAGAGGAGTGACCAAGCAGCGAGTATCGAGATTCCATGAGGCAAGAAAAAAGGGCCAGGGACCCGAATAAGGAAAGCTGAGGATGATCCGGATGGGAGATGTGATCTCGATGAAAGCGCAGCAAGATGGTCGACGGCACCTCAAAAAAAAAAGGAGCAGGCGGAGGCGCTAGGTCGTAAAAGAGTCGTAGAAGCGAAGCAAGCGAGAACGATAGTTGCTTGATTTGGAGGCGGCTGGGCGGCTAGGAGAGTCAAGGCGGCGTCGACATGGCAAGTAAGAAAGAGCCTCGTCCCTTGCGTTGCGCATCATTTCTCCATACGGTGCGCTACAGTTACCACTTCCTCTCCGGGCGAGTTACGGTCTTCCGAATCATAACGGATCGGGGTGGGACTGGCCGGGCCTAGCCAATGGGTGCAGCCCAGGCATTTCAGGTCTTTGTTTCTACCGTTTCAGGCCGCTCCAGCCAGCCATACGGATAGCCCAAAGAGGCTACGGACTGGACGCCTGCTCCCCTCCAAGTAAAACACGCTAAAGTCAGCCAGCAGGTAGGATGCAGGCGACGACTGGCCAGGAAGATACCAGCAAAGCAACCCAAAAGGGCAAGGAAAGATGTCCAAGTGCGGTGAGCCCTTTTCTTTTCTCCTATTTCGTTTCTTTCCACCGTTCAACATGCAGGAGGATCTGGATTGCAGTCTGGCGGGCTGAGAGGAAAGGCCAGATGGGGTTTCACCGTATGACGTACTGCGGAGCCTCGATGCTAACATTTAATATCGACGCCGTATAGCGGTGGTGATTAGTGCAGGTACGGCAGACCCTAATGCGCGCTGCTGCGCCGTCTCTGACACGCAGGCGACGTTCCTCTGCCGACCGTGGCCGTTCGTGACTGAGCCGGGAGTCAGGCACGCCGTCATATTCTAGAAAGGGCTGTTCCGTGGATGTGTACAGTTATGACAGGGCCTGTTAATATGTCTCTGAACTGAGAAACGCCGTGTCCTGCATGTGGCTGGGTGGTTCGTTTCAGCTTCTTTGTTGTAAGATGTATAAAATATTCTACTCCAAAGTGCTTGTAAGTCGTTATTTCTCAATTGTGTGCCAAATGCACTTCAAAGTACACCAAGTTTGAGGCGGAAAACAGCCCTGCACCTTCAAAAGAAACTTGTCCTGCCGATCTCTCCATTTCTCTCTTCTCTTTCCTTTGCTCTGGTCGTCTCCTTGGCCACCCTCGACCGCGCTGATCCATTCTGCGATGGCATCTACCAGAGGTCAAAGGCTGTCGTCACTGATCGCCGGGCCAATCACTACGATGCCAACCTTTTAGTTCCTGAAACTACCCACCACCCTCGAGACAATTGTTTCGTTGGATGTTTTTTTGCTCGACTCGCACCTCATGCATGGCGTACGAATCAGGAGTATTGTCATCCATCAGCTTGTTGCGGCTAGTCTAGCTCGACCCCTTCTGTGTTTTAGTTACTGCAATGTCTTCCGCATTCATCAGAATGTCTCACTTGAATAGCTCGCCCGTGAGTTCGCAGACCTTTGACCGTTGAGTCGCGGAGAGAGAGCGACACACAAAAACATAAAAAAGAGACAGCGAGACTCGAACAAGACTACTAGCCGCCAACCCTGCCCTAGTCAACACACTTCATGCAACCAAACATCATCAGCGTCGTTGATCCAAGCTCTCAAGCGGCTGGTTACGCTGCCATGGACGTATATTTGGGGACGTAGACAGTCTGTAGGGTAATCCGGCCAAAGTATCGAAAATCCGCACACCACTCTCTAGTGCGGTCCATCTTCTCATCATTCCTACTCGGTTTTCCCCCTCGCTTTCTGTCCACCGTTTCTTCCTCACTTACGACGTGCAAGTCGCTGCAGGGGGGTGGAATCAAATTCTCCACATGCCGTCCACTTCCCATGCCGCTCCTGCCCCCCTGCCATGATCGCCCGTGGAGTTGACCACACGTCGTGCTGAACCTCCCAATGACACCCACTCACTCATATTCACCTGTGTGCATCACCTCCACCACCATCCACTTCGCGACACATGAGTGCACCCCACACAATCTTTTTTCAGCTTTTGTTACAGTCTGCCTCAGAGCTTTTTTGCGCACGGTGATCCTCTCGCCCGTCTCCGACCAAACATACCCGAGGTGCTCTTTTTGTTATTCTTTTTTCCTGTTTTCTGCTTCAATGCTCCCCTGCGGCCCTGCAACCCTACCTGTTTTCGTATCTCGTCCTGAAATTTGCGGCTTCATGGCAAACATATGCACCATGGGTCTGCGTGATATCGTCCTTGGCTTCTCGTCCAGAACGCCGCGCACAGGACCGGAAGGTGATGTGGTCAAGGCGTTCTTTTCGCTTCAATCCTGTTCCTGACCTTTGAACCCGCTATACGCATTCTGCCGTCCCCCTTCGGCCTCTTATTCCACCCCCCCACCCCCAAGAAAATAGAGCACTGCTAGGACCATGCAACAGCGCCGCCCACACCATCTTCTGCCTCCCGATTTAGCACCGGCAATCTATATGTGACCTGGCACATTATACGATGTATACAGACGGGCTCTGGTTTACGATCCGAGCGCTCGTGCAGGTGCCGCGGCCACCGGGCTATTTCACATTGGTCTTACGACGTCAACCTCTAAGCTGTTTAAACCTGGCCGATAATCAGGCCCCTGTATTTTCTTTCAATATGCGCGTCTCCCACGCCCCTAGCTGTTCTGGTGCGAGCAGCCACCCTCTTGATTATCATCCCCAATGTTACAAGGAGACCTCGAACTGTGTTTTACTTAAGCCAGCTATTTCCTTTTTTTTTGTTTACAATCATTTTCAGCTTTGACAAACCCAGCCTTTTCTGTCTCGCTCTCTCACTGATCTTTCGCAACTGTTCTTGGATGTTGTCTCCTGCCTGGTCTTAGCTGCAGTTCATCAAGACGCCTTCTGAGGGTGCCATGTAAACTGCATCTTCTGTCCCTATGGCGTTCTGACGATCCCTACCGTTTTCCTTCCAATGCCCTCTCCCTTGCTTCCTTTTACTCTCACTTCCAACTGGCACCCATACTGGGTATTGCTTTTATATCCTCGCATTCACCCAGTGGAGCACCTATCTACACCTGGCCACTTTATATAATTCCTTCCCCTTGCCCTCTGCCCCCCACCCACCCTCATGCCACCGGCCATTTCTAACGTGGCAGCTGCTCCGTCGCTCTCCTTTGCTGCAGCTGCCTTATCAAGAGCAACTACCTTGCCTCCTCCTTCTTCTTTCATTCCCGATTCCTCGCTCTCTTCGCTTTTGTTTACTTCCTCTCGTTCTCATTCTTTACCTTTTGCTGCATCAAGTTTTTCGCCGGAGCCTACAATAACCCACGACCATCTTGAACCGCGCAACTTCTTCGGGCCAGATATTTCTTCGTGGCCTACCTCTTACGACGGGGGTGGTAACTTTTACTCGTTTTACTGCCCACCCGGTGTTACCTATTTTGGCTGCCGAATTACTGCGCCAGTGACGACACCCGTGGCTTCTGCCACGGCTGTAGGGCCGCCGCCACCGCCGCCGCCGCCACCGCCGCCGAGCCCGACATCTCTAACGATTGTAACCCCAGCTGTACCCACAACTTCAGCAACGCTCGTGGTCAGTCAGACCTTGGTGACTTCTACGGCTAAAACGGCTACTTCGCCCATGACGAACCCGGTACCGACGTCCGCTGCTACAATGCACGGTGGCAGCTCTACCAGTACCTTACTCACGATGTCTTCTACCCCTAGCAGTCCTTCGGCACCTTCCACCTCCTCAGGGTCCGGCTCGGTCTCGGATGGTGGTAGCAGTCTCAAAAATACGTCGACAGTCGTGATCCTGAGCAGCATTCTCTCGGTCGTTGGCGTCATGGTCGTGGCTGTCTTGGTATTGATCTGTTGTCGCCTTCGTCAAAGAAGAGGTGGTTCATTTTTGCCTCGAGGTATCTCTCCAATCGATGACGACGAAATCGAAACCTGGAAAGGAACTCGAGGTCTACCTGAGGGTGAGGCAAGTGAGAATGAGAAGGGGCCATCAGGTCTACTTGGCAAGCCCACGGGTGGCCACGACGGCCCAGACTCCCCGCCGCTTCCATCTGCTGGAGCTTTGGGCGCAGGAGCTACAGTGCAAAGACGGGATCAGCTTCGACCGCGTACGCATAGCTATCCAGAGCGGGTTATTAGTCTTGACGGCTCTGGGATCGTTAGCGATGCGCCGGCACCTCTGGGCGAGAGACCTGTTCGTCCTCCAAAGAAGACGCCGTCCAATGTGATTATTTATAAAGACCCACCACAGTCTTTCCCTGGTCTTCCTAACTCTGCATCGTCAACAAATGGCTTCCCTCCAATTCTGGGCGTGCCAGTAGCACCGGCAGCAGCTGCTTCAGGAGCTGCTGGCATCTGTTACTTGCAGCAGGGACAACAACGACAATCCGTGCCCTTGTACCGAAGGTCGGAGGAGTTCTCGCCTCGCTCCGTTCGCTCCATGTCATTCGGTTACCCAGCGTCGCGTGGTATGGCTGGCCGCTTTAGCTTCGACCAAGATTGTGATTTTCTGTTCTCGCAAACGATAGCCTCGCCGTCTACACCACCGACAGCTCTCCAACATGCCCGTGCACCGAATTCCCGGGCAGGCCTCACGGATGATACGATTCCCGGGGACCCTTCTTTTCTTCCAACACCGAAGCGTCAACCGTCTCGGTTGTTCAAGATGCCTCCCGCCACGGGAAGCCCCTCAGCAACGGCGGCAGAGACAGCAGCAGCGACAGAGGCAGTTGCTGCAGGCGGCGCTGGAATCGCATTCCCGCCGAGGCGAAACTCGCACGGCGCTCGTGGTAGTAGCAACATTCCATCACCACCGGAAAACAGCAGCAGCCATAGTGACAGTAACCGTGGTTCGTTCTGGCACGCTCGTACTCGGAGTGCGCGGAGCTGCAGTACCGTGAGCTATGCCGGCTCGGATGTGCCTCTAAACCAGTCCTTTCGACATATGCCACACCAGCGGCGCCCGTCCGTGGTGCAGTATCAGTCCATATCCCATCCGCTGGCATTGACACCACCTCAGCAGTCGCCTACCTCCATTCTACAACAGCAGGTACCTGTTCCACCTCTGCCCATGTCGGCAAGGTCCAATCCCGACAACAGCGACAGCGTGAACATCGACCGGCGCAGCAGCCACAGCATGTTCGATGAGTACTTGCAGCAGGAAAAGCAGCCACGTGACGTGTCCTCGTTGTCCACGCTAGCAGCATCGGCGTCGTCTTCGGTCCTACCGCATATGTTTACCAGTGGGGCGGCTGCGGCTGCGGGGGCTTCCGATGACAGCGACGGCCCGCTCCTCGACGGTCTGTCGCCTCCGCGACTCTCCGTTTCGGACAGCCGGCACATTGTGTATGAACGGCGGAGCAGCAGTCTTCACCACCTGACAACCATTGGCCGGGCTATTGGGTAGAGGTTTTCCGTAATGTATGTCTTGCCGTCTCGGTTATATCTGCCCTTGAATTTTCTCCCCTTCTTTCTTGGCCTTTTTTTTTTTTTTTGTATGTTTCCTACATCTTCCCCCTCTGTCTTCCCTACGTGACTTTCTTTTCTTTGTCTACATTGGAATTTCCCTTGTTAGCCCAACGAGACTATTGGTATGAGAGGATTATAGTATGGTCGAAACGGACCACCAGGAGGCGCGTTTTTACTAGGGAGGATATACCCTGAGATGACCATCTCACATCTACCAGGATTTTGTTTTTATCATTCATCTTTCGATGATTTTTCTCGTTTTCTCTCCAGAAATGGCCTCTAGTTTCTGTTGGCACTTTTTCATTTCTCTCTCTCTCTCTCTCTCTTTATATATATATATATATATATATATATATATTGACTGTGCCTTACTAAAAGGTCATGTACCTAACATAATGCATGTGATGTTCAGTTTTTCCCCGGGGACAATGACCCGGTACAGTAACAACACTCATAAGCACCGCCGACTAGCCAAAGGTAACCCAGCCTAAGCTGAGCATTATCCCATCTAGTTCATACACATCGAGCTCTCAAAAACTGTTGGTGGATCATGTCTACCTCTCCTGCGCGTGGCGCCGGACTACCGTTATTGCGACTCACAGCCACACTGCCGGTCGTGCGGCTTTTATTCGCATTAACCGTGGCCGTAATAGGTATTGCGGGTGCCGGGATAACACCACTGGATGGGTGTACCATAAGTAAGACCTTGGCCAAAAGTTGACCCAGTGAGGGCTGAGTTGAGCGGTGCCTGGAGTATCATGACCTCTCATTGTGGTGCATGCGACCGCAAGTGAGGACGAAGAGTGGTTTGCGCCACATTTCTGGCCACCGGGAGCAGGCAGCGGGAAACCTGCAGCAGATCGTGTAAAGTAGAGAGGTAAAGCCCTTGTCACCTTTTGCCGCACAGTTTGAGTGACACCAACGACAAAGTGCAATTGCGGTGCGACAAAAAAAGCATCAAATTTAAAACTTACCACCGTATCACGACAATATCAAAACGAACCTCAAAAATGCGTCGTAACGCGCCGATTGCTAGCCGGGCCTTCCAATCTTGACAGCGTCGTCAGTCTCGAAACACCATTCAAAATTCAGTCACGACACGCACAGCCACGCGATGTTTGCCCAAACAGAAACCTGCAACAGCTCGCGCTTGGTTATATTATTACGTTGTTATGTTGACAGAGCCAGTTGCAGCAGCTTGAAGAGACGATTCTGGTACTTCGTAGACGGCCAGGTGCAGTTGTTGACATGGCGCTGTTTTGACCAATACGCACTGGTTTGCACTGTGGGCCTTCGTCCGTGCTATTTTGCCCCCTACTGGCATGGATGGACAGAGCTAGGGGAAGCTACGATCTTGGCAGCTCGAACCGCGCCGTTTCCAGCCTGTTTACGTTGCTGCTTGGTTCCTGTTTGTTCCCACTGCTGATAGGTCAATGCGAATGCCAAATCTGTCAGTTTCCTTGTTAATAAGCGCGGTGCTGTAGGACTCCATCCCATCTGCCATGTCCGGCGTTTTGCCAGGTTTTGTTTTAGTATCTTACTAGCATCTAAATAGTTGGACGGAGTACTTACCTCGCTTTCTCCCTTATGCGATCGAGGACCAATCTCCAAACCCACCCCTTGCGCCAAGCTTCCTGGGATGTAAGCTTTTCAACTGGCGTTGTTGTCGCTGCCCTAAATTAATTGATGGTTTTCTTGCACCTGTCACCCACTCGTCAGGATCTCTCTAATTTCCTCCCTTTTTTTTGTCATTCACCTCTGCAAGACAGCTCGGCAGAAGTCCCTTCGGCATCGCATAGTTCCTCACGTCACCTTAAGCATTGGCGCATAGCTCTCACTCTCCCATTAACCCACGCGAAACCCACCGGCGCGCGACATCTGTTGACAAAGGCACTGCAAGGCGAGACAAAATCTCCCAAGACGCCCAAATCCACGCGCGATTTGCTGTCGTTCGGGGACATAATTGCTCCCTTTTGATTTCGATCTATTCGAGTTCTTGTGCGACCCGCCCCTCTTACAGGCGCAAACGAAATCACCGACACTATCATGGCCGAGGGACACCACCCACACCTTCCGCACCTCCATAGCGGCGGTGCGGCCGACGACATCGACGAGGTTGACAATATTGGTGCCACCAGTGGCACTGGCGGGCGCAACCCCCACGCGTCTGCCAACCGCTGGCGCCACCAGGAGTCGCCGGCCTTCGCTCGTCACGCCGCGGCATCGGCCAACAAGGCCCGCGACGAGGAACGCCCCCGCGGCGACGTCAAGGATCTCACGGCCTTTTTAAACGCATCGCGAATCACACCTGCAGAGTCGGCCGGCGCTGCTGTTGACCCGTCCTCTCCCACCGCGGCCAAATACAGCCCTAACTCCGGGTCGGCGGCAAGGTTCACGCCCATTGTGGTGCCCGGCGAGGTGGGTGCGGCAGCTACTGGGTCTCCGGCCGCCGCCGATGGACAAGCGATAGGCGTGCCCTCTAACGGCGAGGAAATCCTTGTGGGCCCGCTGTTGAACTATCGCCGCATGGAGGACGACCGCTGGATTGGCAGTGCTCTAATCGTCACCCGCGGTGGTGGCAAGACGCAGCCCTTCGTGCCCACCGCCCTTATCGGCCCTGTTCGCAATGCGGCCGAGCAGGCGCCGGCACCGACAGATGGTCCATCTGCGAACGGGACTGGTTCCGTTGCAAAGGCGAGTGGTGGCAGCGCGCAGGAAATCCAGGGCATATGTCTCTACTCCGATCCCCGCAATACGTTCTGGCGGTTTGACCTATCGGTTCCAATGGGTGAAACGGAGTCGCGCTGGCAGTACTCATTCCCGGGGCTGCGGTACACGAGCGACACCAAGCCACGCATCAACATTTTCTCTGTGCCGGCTGTCACAGAAGCCATGCGCATCCTTTTCTTCTCTTGCAACGGCTTTAGTGTGGGCACAGACGAGGACGCCTGGAGTGGGCCTGCTCTGTGGAACGATGTCATTCGGTACCACGCCAAGACTCCCTTCCACGTCATGATCGGTGGTGGTGATCAGATCTACAACGACAGCATCCGCGTCACCGGGCCCCTGCGCGAGTGGACCGCTATCGGCAACCCAAAAAAGCGGCACGACTTTCCATTCACCGAAAAACTCCGTGCCGAGTGCGACGATTTTTACCTGAATAACTACATTAAGTGGTACTCGACGGAGCCTTTTGCAGCGACAAACGGCCAGATTCCGCAGCTCAACATTTGGGACGACCACGATGTCCGTAACTAAACTCCCTAGAAAAATCTAAAACACACAACGCTGACCAAGGTACAACAGATCATTGACGGGTTTGGCTCATATGTCAACGAGTTCATGAAGTGCGACGTAAGTTTGAGTTTTGCTACCCATCTTTTGGTATTAGAAACCCATTTCGGGTCCGTGCTAAGCAAGGTTGCATTAGGTGTTCCGTGGTATTGGGGGTACGGCCCACAAATACTACATGCTGTTCCAGCACCATCTACCACCACCGGCCTCAACATACACGTCAGGTAAGCCTTTTCTTTTAATCTAGGGAACGAGTACAACGCCTTAATGCTGAAGCTGACTCGGAACTTGCGCCTCAGATGCTCCTCAGGTCGCCGAGGCGCACCAGGCTGACCTTGTGCAGCTTGTCGACACATATGTAGCGCCTCCCATAATTGAGCCTAACTACATCATCGGTTCGAAACCAGGAGTATGTGGTATCTATACGTGTATTTATTATGTGCAGCATGTCGAGGACAAAGCTAACAGTGCTGCCCACAGCCCTATGTCGCCGAGTACTCCCACAACATGTACTGCAAGCTGGGCGCCCGAATGGCCTTTGTGGGACTCGACGCCCGTACAGAGGTAAAATACCCATACCGTCCCAGCTTCCCGGTGCCTAACCCATGGGGCAGTGTCAGGCGTGTCAGAATCTAACCAATGCACTCTGACCAGCGAACTCGTCACCAAGTCAACTATCCCGAGACGTATGAGCAAATCTTCTCCCGCTTAACGGCCGAATTCCGTGTAGCTGCCGCTGCAGATGAGCCGATCAAGCACCTCATTCTGCTCCTTGGCATCCCCATTGCGTATCCTGTGAGTTTTTTTACTTTGCCTAGTCGTAGCTGGCTCTACACTTCGCACAAATCACAACTGACACTCGTGCAGCGTTTGACTTGGCTGGAGAATGTGTTCTCGAGTCCGCTTCTCGGCCCGGTCAAGTTTATGAACCGGCGATTCGGCTTTGGTGGCGGATTCTTCAACTACTTTGATGGCAACGTCGATCTACTGGACGACCTCGACGACCACTACACGGCACGCACTCATAAGAAGGAGCGTAATTGGTTTATTGAGCGTCTCCAGGTTCTCAGTGCCGAGCATTCCGTGCGCATCACGATCTTGGGCGGTGATGTGCATCTGGCGGCTCTGGGTCGCTTCTATGCCAATCCTGACCTCAATGTTGCATCAGAGAACGACTACCGGTTTATGATCAACGTTGTATCGTCGGCCATCACCAACAAGCCGCCCCCGGCCGCTATTGCGAATTTACTCGCCCGCCGCAACAAGATCCACCATTTGAACAGCTCGACCGACGAGACGCTATTCAAGCTGTTCAACAAGGATCCCGGTACATCGACGAAGACGGCCAGTCACAATCAAGTGACGATGCCAAGCCGGAACTTTGCCATCATCACCGAAAATTCACCGAACAACACTGAGTCTGAAGAGCGACCCCGGCCCCAAACCATAGCTTCGGATGCTGCCGTGCAACCAAAGCCGCCACCGTCTCGAGGTTCTTCTCGTTTCGGCCGTCGGTCGGCCTCGAGGCGTAGAGAAATGAGCTCCAATGAGCCCCCCCGCGGCTCGAGCGCGGGTGCGAGTACTGCAGGGGGCGCCAATGGCGAGCCGAAGGCCCATGCAAATGGGCGAAATGGCCACCATGCCCTGCACGCAGGCGAAGAGGGTGCCGGCACGGAACACAGGGCAGCAAGCGATCTGCACGGCAAGGGCAACGACGGCAGTCTCGACGTCTGTATTCGCGTCGAAATAGACCAGCATGACCCAGAGGGTAAGACGGAGCCGTACGGCCTCACCATTCCGCCGCTGGACTACACAGGGCCGCCTCCCATCCCGAGGGTGCCACACCACTTCCGATCGAGCCGGCCCAACACTGGACACCGTTCGACTACGACTGCGTCGTCGGCATAAAATCACAATGGATTCAACGAATGCTGTTGGCCATTCATTGCTCGAGATCAATAGGTAATGTGTAATTTTGCTGAAGCCAATTTACCATGCGGCGCCCGAGTGGCCGCTGTTTGGTGCACGATTGTCGGCAGCTCTCATTTAAGTTTTGGACTATTTTGGTATCCCATTTTATATCCACAGTCGCTGTGCGTGGATTTTATTTGTCATGTCGTGCTTCTATTTTGAATAAACTAAATGCAACTTTTATACGTCGGGTATATATTTCACAACTGTATGCAAACCTGCCATCAATACGCAAGAGTGTACAGAAGACACCTAGACAATTATGTACTCCACGTCTAACCCTACACCAGCTCCATGCGTGCACTCCGCTTGCCCGTCGTCTCGTCTTTGTGGTCCATGATACGTACAATGACCTTCTGGAAGAGGCGAATCGTCACCGGTTTCAAGGAAGTCTCATCGCCCTTGCCCGTGGGAACAGCGTGGCTTGTCTCGAGCACGTACTTGTCGGCGTCGAATCTGGCGGCAGGCTCCGGTATGGCAAGGTCCCGAAGCCTAATCGGGCTCTCAATGCCAAACCGAGGAACGAGCACCACAAACCCGTTGCTGAAGACGCGCATCACAAAACCCTCAGCCGTCGTCTCCTTGCCGCGGACAGCTTGGCCAACGTAGTAAGCAATGCTGGCGCGGCCCGCAAGCTGCGCATTACGGTGGCGCATGTTGATGTTGCGGCAGATGGCCGTAAGACGACCTCGTGTAGCCGTTGCGCTGGACGAGTAGCCAATAGCTGCTGCCAGTTGCCGGTGCACGACCAGGTCCGCGTACCGACGGATGGGGGACGTGAAATGTGTGTAGATGGGCGAGGCGAGACCGTAATGTCGGAACTCGGGGTAAGCCAAGGCGCCCGCGGTAAAGTACTCCGCAGCCGTCATGCACCGGGTGGCAAGGATGCGGATCAGCGTGTTGAAAAAGGGCTCCTCAGGGTCCACACAAGCATCCAAGCTCTCGGCCAAGGCCTTGGACGATTCGACACTCAAAGAGAAGTCCTCGTTGCCGCTTACATGGCCTGCTGCGCGCAGTTGCCGCGATAGCTCGTCAAAATTGGTCTTGGGTGGCGAAGCGTGACGCCGCAGCAGGGCTGTCTGGGGGAAGGCATCATAGATCTTGGTGGCCACAGCAATGTTGGCCAACAACATGAACTCCTCGACGAGCGAGTTTGTGTCCAATAACGCCTTGGTCTCCACGTCAATGGGGTCGGACGTCTCCGACTCCATGTGCACCTTAACCTCGGGCGACGAGAGGCTCAGCGCACCGGCATCCAGGCGCTTTTGCTTGAGCTTCTTGGACAGGTCCAAGAGCGTGCGCATGCCGCGCGTCAGATCGTCTTGTTCCGAGACGTCATCAATGCGCAGCTGCGCCTGCTCGTAGCTGAATGCCTCGCGAGACCGGATCACCGACTTGGTGAAACGCACGTCGACGACATCTGCGTCGGACGTGATCTCCCACAGCACTGAAAAGGCAAACCGCTCCACATACGGCTTCAGCGAGCACAGGTCAGTTCCCAGAAGCATGGGCAGCATGTCAATGCGCTTGTCCACCAGGTACACGGTAGTGCCGCGGATGCTCGCCTCGAGGTCCATGGCATTGTTGGGCCGCACAAAGTGCGACACGTCCGCAATATGAACACCGACCTCAAAGTTCCCGTTGGGCAGGGGGCGTGCGTGCAGGGCATCGTCGATATCCTGACAGCCGATGGGATCGATGCTGCAAATCAGGAGATCGCGCAAATCTTCGCGGTCCACCCAGCCAGGGTCTTCCTTGCTTGCAGGGACGCGCCAGTCGTGGCCTTCGGCGGGCAAGCAGTCCAGCACAGTCTTGGGGAAGGGCCGGTACTGCACATCATACTCCAGAAGCAGTGCCTCGGTTTCCGCCGCCTTGGTTTCCAGCTCGCCGAGTGACCGGATGAAGTGACCGACAGGATAGCGGGAGTCACGGTCCCAGGCATCTATAGCGACGAGGATGCGTTTGCCCAGCAACTCGCTCGCCTGCCGCGTACGAAGCCGGATCTTGGGAATTTTCTTGTCCATGGGAATAACAAAGACCGATTCTTGTTTTCGGCCCTGGCCGGTCGCTCTGCTGACAGACGTCTGGTCAATGTGGCCAACGTACTGACGCCAGTTGCGGCGAATGACGCCGACCACCCGCACCGTCGGCTCGACGTAGGTCGACGGCTCGTTCTTGGTGCCCTTTCCACTCGCGCTTTGGCCGGCCAGGGCATGCGTTCGCTTCACCTCTTCCTGCAGCGCCTTGCGCTCCTTGACCGAGACCAGGTCACCACCACGACTGTTGCCGCCCCCAGTCGCATCGTCATCTCCCTCACCGCCGTCAGCACTCTCGTTCTTTGTGACGGTCTCCTCGTCGATAATCTTGGTTGATGGTTGCCTCCATTGGTCGCGGGGGAGCACCTCGACGACGACAGTATCACCGTCGACGGCGCGGTTGATGTTCTCGCGGCCGAGGACCAGCAGGGCTTTGGAAAAGGCGGGCACGCGCACAGAGCCTTCCAGGTAATTGTACGGAGAGACATTGAAGCTGCCCTGGTGCAACAAGCCGCTTTTCACGCCCGTCATCATCTTGGACATGGTCATGTACTCGGGATAGAGATGATGGCCGTTGGCGCCGGCCTTCTTCTCTTCGCGCGCCGTTGTGACGGATGCGTCCTGTGTCTCCGGAATCATGTCAAGCAGCACGTCCGCATTCTCCAGTCCGCGCACGTAGTCTGCCAGCGAGCTTGCGGCCAGGCCGTCGCTACGGGCCTTGCGCAAGTTTTCGCGGTCGTTGCTGAGCATGACGACGGCCGGGGTGGGCTTGCCGACATGAGCCGCTGCGGTGGCAAGATGTTCGGCGTACCACTTGACAGCACGGCGCACAGCCCGGTCGTTGCGGTCGTTGATGGTTTCTCTAGGCTCACGGGTGACATATGTCTCGAGGCGGAACTCGTTGAAGAAGACGTAAAAGCGCTTCTCGTCGCTACGGGTGAGGCCAACGAGGCGGTTGTAGAGCGGCAGCGAGCGGTTACGCACCTCCTCGAGCACGACCTGCAGCACAATCACGTCATAGAAGGCCGAGGTTTGCTCGAAGAGGTCCATGGCTGTCAGGAAGGCATTGGTATCGGGTACGAGGTAGTGGCCCTGGGGGTAGGCGGTCGTTCCGGCGGGGCGGTCGCTGAGAACGAAGGGAGAAACTGGAACACTGTCAGCAAATGTGCCTTGTGGTTGCGAGTAGGAGTAGCTGTTCCAGAGTCATACCGTGCCCTGACGCATCACGCGGTGCGTTCTCCTGGCAGGCTACGCAGAGCTGTGACGAGCAGGGGATGTCCTGGCGCAGGTAGACTTCGCGGACGATCTTCTGGACCTTGCCGCTCTTGGTCGTACGAACAAACGTCTTGCTGGACAGGTTGGGCCCAATGCCGTCGTCGGCCGGTGCGGATCGTTTTAATGTCACCATTGTCACTTTGTCTGGGTTCTGTGTCCTGCGCAGCGCTCGTCTTGCCTCGTTTGTCGTGATTTGTCGTCGTTGCTGATGCATTGAGTGGTGGCGGTCTTTGTATGTCAGAAAAAAAATCCAGGCGATGCGAGCGGCTGACGAATCAGCGGCTTTGCCAGGCCCAGCTTATCGTTATCGCGCTGTAGCTTGAATGAGAATTACAGGCTAAGCTGAATCTTGGGCCCCAGAGCCTTGCGCTATGGCGGGGCTGCGAGGGTGTGAAAGTGAGCGAGGAGGCTTGTGGGGTTTATTACCATATTGATGAAACTTTCGGGTCCAAATATCATGTCAGCAGCAATTGTTTTCAATTCGGCTATAGACTTTTCGACTTTTGTGTCACTATTTTCGAATTCTATATCATACGTATGACTGGCAGAGCGTCAGAATATCTACGAATCAAAGAGGCTGGTCTGGCTCGCTATGCTGGACTAGCTGCTATTCTCCAAAGAGTCCTGGTGTGGTTCTGTAGCCCGCCATACGACCGTACTCGATCGTCCACGCGTTCCTGTATGGCCGTCCTGGGTACTAAAGCTGGAGGTAAGGTAGGTCAAAAACAAAGGCGGCTGACAACTAATCACGTGGGTGAGCAAACGAATGTACGCGGGTCTTGTTTCGGCATTCTTTTCAGCATGCAGAGTAAACGCCCGAGGCAGCGGATCAGACGGCCTGGGGGGCTTGGTGTCGACAGGAAGGCAAGATTTTACCGGGTGAGACGATTGAGGGTCGTGGTGGCGTGTGGAAGTGGTACATAATTTTTCAGTCTCGCAACTTCCCCAACTTTTACAATGGACATGAGTTCCTGGATATCCCGACCACGGCATCCCGCCTTGTCACCAGGTAGATTGCCTTCGTCATTAGGCTCGGTCCTAGTTGTACGCAAGACATGGATAACATGTGGAAGGGGTGGGTTTTGGTGTGATTGTAAAGGACTCTTCCTTTTATCGGGCCCGGTCGATGGCAGGCATTGCATGAGATATGAAGCCGGTTCCCCACGGCAGGGCGGAAGGGCGTCAGATTAAAATGCTCGTTAGGCAGGTGACGATTTGATTTACAGAGGGGTGGGCAAAGAGCACTTTATTAAAAACGGTAAACGAGTCGAGAGGCCCTCGAAGACGAATGGTTGAGATCCATCGTGGATCAGTATTCAACCGGCGTAAACAGCACCCTGCTCTTACATAGAGCATTCTTCCCGACGCAAAAAGGCTTATTGAGACTAATATACACGCATAGAGGCCCCTCGTATTAATGTTTTGACACCGCCACACACGCTTATATGAGTGATATTAAGTCTTTTACTTTGGTCTAGTGATACCCAGTCTCCAGGATGCTATTTTCGGTCCATGTAATTCGTCTGAAAACGAAGCTCTTTACCTCCTTGTGTCACAGCTATCCATGTGTAAAAAGGCTGCGTCCAGATGTGCAAGCGCGAGATACAAGGACGAGGAGCGATGGTACGGCCCAGTTTCTTTGAGTCACTGTCATTTTGAACATGTCTCCTATTTCAATCTGAGTTTCTAGGGGGAAAAAATAAATGTCTTGGTGTAATAACCGCTGTGCAACTGGTTCACTGATTCCAGAAGCTGCCGGGTCTCTGTTTTCACCCTGCTACGCACCTCACATTCCCGTCTTTGGTCCGCGATGGCGTTCTCGTGTCTGAATGGACGTCTCGCTTGGGTATTTACGTATAATTGAAATCACGGGCGAGACAAGCATGTGAATGAAACAAAAAACGGCGACTGAACGGTTGTCTCAGCCGTTTTCTGCACACTGTCTCCCCCGTTTTCGTATTATAGTACTGTGACATCGGCTAGACAGAACTGTGTGTGTGTTCACACCCCCGTTCTTCGTGGCCGGAGCTTTTATCGTCATCATATCGGGTACGTTTGGTGACGTTCTCTTGTTTCCTCGTCGTGGGCATCTCGGCCCTCGACTGTTTAGATCTCTTCTGTCCTCCTTGTTTTTATCTACGGCTCGGAGATTTGTATCCTGTCTATGGTGCATTGTTCTCTTTGTTGCCCCTTAGCTCGAGTTCTTTCTTTTCGGTTGCCTCTTTTTCAAGCACCTCATATCTGGCCCCCAGTTCTTCTGTTTTTGCACCGGGTGACAAGAAAGGGCATCTACGGCTCCTGTTGCTGGCGATGGCATCTGCGCGTCACGGGGCCTCTGATGTAAGTATTTGGCTTGGCTATTTGAACCTTTGCGGCTTGGGCGACATGGTGTCGTTGCAAGGTAGATACATGCTGCGAATGATATTTATTTATTTGTTTGTTTAGGATGCGAGAGTATTTTAATGCCCAACCCCAAAACTAAATACACACGACAGGAGCCATGTTCCTATACTTTCACGTCCCAAGAATATAAATATAAAATGCGACAATTCGATATAACGCAAACAAATTGTAGAAAAAAATCAATCAGATTTCATGAGTTAAAAGTAAATGAAAACGAAAAAAAAAGGCATGACACTGTGACATAAACCTGCCCCAGCGCAGGGAGTGAAGCACACTGGAGGTGATACGGCGCCCGCAACCATCAAAAACCGCTATACGCGACCAGGACGCGACTTCTCACAAGCCCCGCTTTTCTGCTCGAACCTCCTTGCAGTCCTGGCTGGCAATTTCTCACCATATGATGGCACTGTGGTCAAGCATGCGACAAACTCTTTACACGCCACACAGCTCAACGATCGACGACGACAGCTTGTCTCTCATAGAATTGACCGCCGGTATATAATCGACAGCGCGTTGGGCTAGATTGGCGACGCCCAGGCGATCTCCCGGGAACTAAACGAGTTCGACGACCAGACGCAACTGATGGCGAGCATCTAGCAGAACTGCCACAGAACTGCGCAAGCCGACAGACACAAAGGCATTGTTGCTAGGAAACAGGATACAAGATAGAAAGAGAACAGCCACTTCAACTTAAACCCTCCCCCTGCGCGGATATGCCTCCCCGGAAAAGCGACGCCGCGTCGCGAAAAACGGATTCCAGTGCAAGCGCGGCTGCCGCAGCAGCCGACAGCCGCACAACGGCTGTACAAGATGCACCGAGCCCAGCCGCGGTGCAAGTTACGTCAGACCTCGTAGAGCCAACGGCGGCAGCCGATACACGGCCAACAAGCTCCGGAAAGCCAGGCGCCGAGAGGGAGAAGGACAAGGACAAGGAGAAAGAGAAAGAGAAGGAGCACCCAAAATCGCGAAACAACGATGCGGTAACGATCGAGGTCGGCCTCCCTGTCCCCCGCTGCCGAACGGACACAGGTCCACCGGGCGTCAAGATGTGGAGCTAACGCGAGAATAGGACCTGAACATGCCACGTTCAATCATCACACGGCTGGCCAAGGGCGTGCTGCCACCCAACACGCAGATCCAAGGCAGCGCAATTACGGGCATGAGCAAGAGCGCGACTGTGTTCATCAGCCACCTCGCCAATGCGTACGTTGCACCACTGTCCACCAAATGTTGCTAGCAAGTACAAATCCAAGTACGCACCTAACAAATGCAGCGCCAATACCCTGACGACCAACGCCGGGAAGAAGACCATCATGCCGGCAGACGTGTTTGCCGCACTCGATGACATTGAATTTGGCTTCATGCGCGAACAACTCGAGGCAGAGTTTGCGAGTACGTACCTCCGATGGCCCAGTTACAACAGGGATATACAACCACATACATGAGTAGACACTGACAGCCCTCCAGAGTTTACCCACATCCAGACGTCCAAGCGTTCTGACTACCGGAAGCGCGTAGCGGCCGCAAAGAAGGGCACCGATGGTGGCAAGCAGGGCGACGGCGAGGACGCCGACGATGCTGATGTCAGTGCTATGGGCGGTGCCGATGGTGATGTGTCGTTAGCCGCTGCGTCCGAGGCAGGTGAGGCGGCCGGCAAGTCCAACGCAAAGAGCCGCGATGCACCACCACAGGCCAAAAAGGTCAAGCGGGCACCCAAGGCCGGCAAAGCCAACAGTGAGGATGACGAGGCCGAAGTAGATGAAGAGGACACTGAGATGGCCGAAGGCGAGGGGGAGGAAGAGGAGGAAGAGGAGGACGAGGATGAAGAGGACGAAGAGGAAGAAGCAGAGGGAGAGGACGACGAAGATGACGAGGACGACGAAGAGGAAGAGGGCGATGGCGATGACGACATGGACCGGGAAGATGCACCAGACGACGACGAAGCACTGGACAGTGAGAGCAGTGAATAATGCAGCAGGGCGGGGGTGAGCACCGTGGGCAGATGGCTCAGAAGTTACAAAAATGGGCCAACGTTCCTACCTTGTCGGTATTCGGAATTTTGCAAAAAGGAACGAATTACACAGACATGAAGAGGACACTTGCATACACACACATATTACACACACATACAGATACACATATTTTGCACATGTCCCGGTCAATCACCAATGCGACGTGCACCCGCCTGCTCACACGTATGTGGTATTGTCTCTCAGCTCCCAGTCATGCACAGGCCCATTTTGACTGCTCATTGGATGCCTTCTTTTGCTCTTCGCCGCCTCGCCCGAGAAAGTGACACCTGCAGGAGCGCGTGTCGTACATGTACACGCACCCACGGAAGAGCAGAAATGGCGGAGGCGGGATCTGCGACTGTGGTGCCATTGGGTGGCTGTGCAAACCTCACTCTCTTTTCTTCTGTCTCCCGGTTGGCCGCTGTGGGACACATGTCTACCAGGGAGCTTGGCTGACCGTGCAAATTCAATATCGCATACATACAGGAGAGCTGCGTACATGGAAAGGTCCGCAGTGTCTGCACTCCAACGCCTCTCACCTGCCGAACGGGACAACAACATGAGCATAGATGCCCAAATTGCTGGGCCGTGCGAGTATATTGGAGACCGGCCTGTATCTCTTGTCTTTCTGGACCTGAGCAATCTCGTGGCTTGTGCCCCACGAGTGTGGATTTGTCGATGCTAGATGGAAGACACAGTGCACGGTTTTGTTTGCTTTTCGAGTTGTACGACGTTTGGAGCACGTCGTTCACGACCCCGCATCATGGTCTGAAACTAGCAACGACTTCATTCTTGTTTCTTGGGGGATGTCTCAACTTACTCCGTACTTTACTGATTCGGCTTTCTGGGTTCAAGGGCCGGATGTAGTGGATAAAGAGAGGGGAACCGACGTGCCGTCGTAAAGTTGAAAACGATACTGAAGTATGTTGTATGTCGTACTGCTATTCAAAGAGAGCACTCGTCCGTCTTACTCCGCCCGTACTTTGTACGACGTCTGTGTAGACACATGTTGTTGCGTAATGTTGTGAGGATGCGAGGTCTGTGGGTTTAAAGTGTGGGGTCTGTGCTCGCAGCAACGTCCTACTTCAAGCCAGCTTCGGTTGATTTCAGTCACAATGATGAGACGGTGGATGACAAGGGAAGTGAACAATAGAGTTACGAAGGGGACCGTGCAGGGTACCATGGAATGGGAGGACAAGGGAAGATCGTCTGGACTCTCCCCACACCCTCACCCTCCAATTTTCCCGTCGCATATATGTTGTACTTACGACTGGGCTGCACCTATTATCAGATACTCATTTCGGTGCGTAGAGTAACCGCAACAATGTGTTTCCAAGAGTAGACTTGAACCCTGCTTGACTGACTTGCAAGGAATACCAAGTACGTCGACTACCCCGACTGTTTGCGCCGGATTGTATGAGTTATATCGTCTCGATGGCACTTGGCCGCGAAAGGCGAAACATGTGTGTGTGGACGAGTTGCTGTTGTGCGGCTTTTCCGGCTCAGCCTTCCTTCACCAACCGAACAGGCCCTAGCTTGGCATAACATCACGACGTGTCCGTTGTTTCCTTCTCGTCGCGGTGGAAGTGACAGCAAGCCGCGGAAATAATGCCCTGCGCTCACGGAGAAATATACGCTGTTTAAGGTACCGAGGACAAGCTATGCGTTGAGACAAAAGACGACACGTTATCGGCGTTTTGCGTTGTTTATTTCGTCGAAAAGAACATTTGCGGCTTGGCCAGGCCCAACCACCGCAAAGCTGCAAGTGTTCCTTGGTTTCCGTTGTCATTTACCTCAATAGTTTAGATGTTCATTTTTCAGGATCCTCAGACAATGGCGTGAACCTGCCGACAACGGTCTTGCTTTGGCTCCAATCGAATTCGGTGGGCACATGTGCTTTCAGTATTCGGAAGACGCGCTGGATACGTTTCGGTCAGGTCCATGGCCGTTGATGCGGTTACTAAAAAGGAGTCTGATGTCGATAATTAGGAGACGTAAAGTGGAATAGTCATGATCCTGTGCCCTTTTCGGGTGGTATATATTAAATCAAGATACGACTTGTGGGCAAGAAGACCGAAAGATCGAGAGGTTATGGCAGAGATCCTTCCCGCAACACGCATGCTGGTGTTGTTCTGGGTGCCGTCGTAGCCTCTGTTCGGAAGGTGTTGTATGTGTGCTGAAGAGGACTGTGCTTATCTTGCGAGCTGCGACGTTGTAGAGTGGTATTTGTACAATAGCTTGTGTCAACCAACCACTGCTCTCCCTTGATGCTCGTCTGTATCTGCAATCCATATGGTCGTCCACAATGATATTTGCAATGTTCGGACCGTGGCAACTGCTCAGGAGCTCAGCTCGTTAATATTATTGTATGTTCCGAGTCATTCAAATGCATTAAACCGACGTCCGTCCGGACAGGGCTTCATTTGGAGTACAAGGAGCTAGGATTAGCAGGATATCGATGACCAGCGGCGTATCCATGCTCATTGGCTCGGTTTGTCATAGAGGCCGAAGCTGATTAGGGTGGACATAATGGAACAACGCAATGGCCCGCCAGCTCGTAAGCCTGCCGGAAAGCCAGCAAACGCGAGGCGTCGACGACGCCAATTCCAGACGGAACGCCAAGCGGCACAGTGCTCGGTCCCATCGTTTTCCTGTTTGAGAAGAAATTGAGTGAGAAGAGGAGGCCAGGGAGAGGGGAAAACTGGAGACTGGTGGATTGTGGAGAGGTGCTCGAAAGTGTTCGGATGGACGACACAATCTTTATTTCGTACGTGGTACGACATACGACTATTCCGTATGTATGTGTACGGAGTATTGCAACAAAAGCAAAAATCGATTATTGTTACCCCTACGCTCTCTCCCTTTACGGAAGTAAAAAGAGAGCGGGAGTGTTGGCAAACGGAAAGAGCAGCTCAGCGAGCTGCTCTTTCCGCCCGAGAAGTAGTCATGCCTAGTTTTGATTTGACCAACTCACTGGGAAGGCGTAGCCGGTAATACGGCGTAATGATATCCTCTTTTTAAATATTCCTTACTCTTCACAACTCCCTATTCTCACCACTTGTTGGGTCGTGTTGTAATTCGTTGTTTCTCGTAATTCGACAGGCCGCTTTGTGTTCGAAGGATCAAGGAAAGAAGGTACGGGACCGTGATATCTTGTTGTTCCATGCCATAGCACCTTTTCTTGCTGCATTATCTTTCAGTGTGTCCTGCAGCTATGGAGAGCTTGCATAAAATCACCAGACGCGCCTTCCATTTAATTTCCTCGAGATAGCCCCTTTTCTTCAGCAGAGGAAAAGGGCCGACAAATCCGTTTGTCAGCCAGTATCGCTCTTTCCTGAACAGCGCGAAAGATGCCCAAAAAACGTCTAGGCATATGGGTTTATTGAGTGAGTCCTTTTCTCCCTCTCTCGCCTTATCCGTCGTCTCTTCTGACCGGCGTACCTCGAACGGCTACAGTTCCCCACCTCAGCATCGATGGAGGCATGTTGTATGTTGTAAGATACGGTGGTCTTTCAAACGCATCGACCGCTGTACGGCCCACAGGAGGGCAACAACGGGCTTCCTCGTCCAGATCGGAGAGTTCCACGGGAGTATAAGGTGCTTCCGTAACTGGCTCCTCGCCCATCGGCATCCGTATCCCGGTCTGTCTAATACGTCCTCCGTCGTGCTCAACGGCTTAATTGTGCTCCATCGCCACTATCGCCTTCTCTGACTTTGCGATCTTTAACGGCGCTCTCTCTTTGACAGGTCGCGCCCGGGCCAATCATGGGTGGGGGACGCTATCCTGGTCGCTTCTGCCCCTACCCTTGTCACAGGTCAGTCGAGCAAAACGATCAATCACCTCATCGTACAGGCGGGCGCTTTCCCAATTCTGACGTTCAAACCTGATAGGGCTCGTTACAGCGACAACTTGGCACGGATTCGCTCACTCTCGTCAAGTATGTTATTCTCGATGGGCCTCCTCCGAGTTGCGCCCCGGAGCCTTGCGTATTTTTTGTTCCGTCGGTCGTTTCCAACCAAACAATTCACAACGATTTCGACCTCCCACTACTTCCTCGCCTTTGTTCCTTTCCTTCCCTCTGCTCAGTCTCCCTTTCCCTGTTGCTTGCTGTGCGACAAGAGCACTGTCTGCGAATGAAACGACATTTTATGGACGAAAAGCTGGCTCTCTCATCCTATTGCTGTCCTTTTTCTGTGCTCCGAAACATTGCCCCGACCATTTCGTGCCTTACGGTGCATCATGAGGAGTGGGTACGACATTCCTGCTTCCGAAATCCCCTCCAATGGTCCAAATCAGCCGTGGTTGAAGCCAAGACTTTGCCTGCATTATGAATGACGAATGTCAGCACGTTGCCATCCATTGCGGCCTTGTTTCGATCGGCCCCCCGACTCCCTCTTGCTTTGCGCATGGCTCTTCCAACCTTTCCCGCATGACCTCTGGCACAACCGACAAAGAAAACGAATCAATGAACGAGTAGAGACGATCGTCAATAGTATCTGCTTCTATTTTTGGCCACAAAGTTTAGCACGAACATCTCTTCACTCGGCACATGTGGACTGTTGCCCATGGGAAACGATATCGTCGAGTTGCATTGCTAGTCGAGACCGATGTTGCTCTCTTGTGCCATAACGTAATACAGCATGGTTGTGTCGTTGCAGGAGCCAGGGGCCTGGGCACAAACCTTCACACCATCATCTCTAAAGAAGCATTCTTCAGTCTTTCCTGTGCGAAGGTCAGCAAGGTGGTGACGTTCGGGCACTTGCCGCTCAAGGGTAGAAAACGATCTTCGCTCCCCCCCTCCCCCCTCACTTTCCCATCGACCCTCCCGTCCACACCACACTGCATTGCCGATACTTGCTATCTGAGTTTGGGCGGAAAATGCCATCGTTCCCATGCAGCCAACATTTGCGCCGCCCTGCACGCCAGACCACCATGCCTGTCCAGTCCCGCCCGCGCACGAACACCGTTTGACAAGCTTTGGATGCCTTCCCGAGCCCTCCCATACCTGCCCTGTCCCTCGCCCCCTCTTCACGTCCCTGCTAGCCACCCAGCGTCTTGTTACCACTGCCGCCCGTCCTCCTTTAGCACCCGCAGCACACCACCCATCATGGTCGCGATGAATACATTCACTCGCTCCCCAGCCCGCTCCACCGCAGTCCCCACAGTCCCCACTGTCCCGTTGTGCTGTCCTCCGCTACACACACAGCGCCTTCACACGGCCTTTGTCCTCACACCGGCGGCAACGGGAAGGTAGAACTGGCTCTGCACCTGACGTCCCCGCCAGGTTGGATGGTGGGTGTGCTTGTCCTCATGTCTGCCGCTGTGCAAGGGCAACCTAGGAGGCCCTCAACCCCCCTCGTTGAACAGCATGGAACATGGGAACACAAGACGTGCATATGTATACATCGTGCATACAGCAGAGGAAAGGCTCGGCTGCTATATCTGGGACTGCCTTGGCACACACTGTGGCGATTTTTCTGCGTGGGCTTCGACAAAGGGCGCAGTAAGATTTCTGCTTTGTCAATTTGCCCTGAATACGACACAAGTCAATTTCTTCGAGAGCCTCCCTCACCGGGCCGGCCAACAAAGTTGCGCCGTCGCCGCTGCTGCTGATTTGACATCAGCTCACCCTGCACGCCCAGGATATCGACAAGATGGGCCTTGTGCCGCTGGAAATGTCTCGACAGGGAGGCCCTTTGTGCTTCTGTTCGTCGACTAGCGTATTTCGCTTCATGCACGGAACAGAGTCTGTACAGAATATCTCACAAATAATACGTGAGCGTCGTCGTTCTCACGTTGCAGGGAAGGAACGACGCAGCCTCAGAGAGTCCCCGAGACAGGACAGTTTTGCTTTGGGTATCACTGCCCGGCGCTATTTGTCCACTAATAGACATACTAGCGCCCCCCACAGTTGCCTAAAAAGACGGACTTCTCCTTCAGACGCATTGCGCCTGCGAATCACGAATTACGAGAGAGGAATGATATCTTGCACATTTACGAGCCAGGCGTCTGCATTGTGTCGTACCTGTTGAGGCTGCGAAGTTGGCTGTCGTCTCGACGTTGGCGTATCTTGGGGTTCGTTTTGCAAGGAGATGGACGTGCAACATTATTCTACGTGGTTTAGCAGCTGGGGTCGCAGTTTTTCCATCGCCCAGGGTTTCAGTGAGCAAAACGCAGCATAATGCCGTCAACTTGCTCTTTTTGGGGACTTCGTATGTCGTATGTGTAATCTGCCCAAGACCCTGTCGTTTTGCGTGCGATTTGTTCAGCGCAGCTTTTCCCTTCCTCACCGGACACTCGTACCGTCGTGTCCTCTGCTCCAATGTCCTTATTGCTCGTAAAGAACCAATCGATGTAGAGTGCCGCTAAACTACACTAGGACTGGCGCTGATCCAACAATAAACCTGCTTTCCCAAGAACAGTTTACTTCTCCGTACAGTTTATGATGCGCGACCTGACGACGTATTACGGTCATCTGTATCTTACGATTGTACTGACCCAATGACCATGTACCTCGTCTGCGGCAGGATGCTTGCACAGTACATACTCCGTACACAGCAACACCCGTCTACCGGGCTCGAGCGTGCCTTTTATTTTCTCACGTTCTCGGTGATGCGAAGAGACGTTGTATCTGTCGTCGATGTGCAGCAAAGGCCCGTTTCAAGAGTGTGCATGGTGGAGAACGTCGCACGGCGTACTTCGTACAACGGAGTACAGGTTCAGAACCTACTTACGCCTGCTTCGCGGAGTACTCGACTGTTGCTGGTATTGGCTACCGTAGGAAGGGTACTGACTGGTCCGTGTACTTTGTATCTCCTCCACCAACGGAGCGTCCCTGGTCCCTACCACCCCCTCTCGCCTCTCGAACTCTTCCCGTGCTTGTCTTGTTCCGCCCTCTCCGCTCACCCCCTGTCTTTTCTCTCTGCTTTTTATGTGGTCCCGTCCCCTCTTATTGTCTTGGCTTCCTTGGCTTGCCGGGGATCCTCAGTCTGCCCGTGTTGTTTCTGCACCCCCGCCCCAACAGTCAATATTGTCTTCTGCTTTCGGACGTGATTTGTCGAAAATGTAGTTTTGTTCCGCTGCGTTTTTATTTTTATTTTTTATTTTTATTTTTTTTGTTCGCCCGTATGTTGTACTTTTGCGCGTGTTCAGCGCTCGGTCATTGTAGCTGCGCTTCTCTTCTTTTCCCTTTCCGTTATCCGTTGTGGCCTTCCTCGTTTAACGTACTGTAGAGTTGTCCTATTTGCACGATGGCCCCGGTCGCACTTTCTTTGCTTTGAGCTGCCCTAACACACACGCCGAAGCATGAGTGCATCGTGGTTTCCTGTTTTGTCACTAGCCGCTTTGTGTGGAGTGCGCCTCGGCCGCTCGTCAGGAAAGGTACATGTCCTCCACGCGGGTGTTCGCAGAAAGATACATGGCACATCCCCCCTGGTTCCGCAGATCCACAGCCACGCACTCTCCCTTGGCCACCGTTTTTGCACCGTAAACCGTGTCGTTAGCCGTGGGCCGTGCCTTCCCTGTGCTACGCCTCGTGCATTGCTCCCACCGTCTCTTGGACCTCCTCCCGGGTCAGTAATCTCGTTTCTCCTCCCCCCTGTCGCTCTTGTATTTCACATCGCCGTCCATAATGCCTTCCCCGTATTTTTACGAGCATTTGTATTTTGCGGCCTGTCTGTCTCTTTAATGATGAGAAGATGCCGAGCAGGCCGTGAGTCCGTCTACGCACGAATTACAGCTGGTTTCGCTGTCGACGTCCAGAATGGGGGCTGTTGCGTTTGTTCTCTTTGCAAATACGACGTGCTTCAGCGTGACAGAGAGCAGCCAACATGTACGCCAGGCCACGCCCCCCCCCCCCGGCGCTCACATCACGGCTTGCTTCCCAAACTCGGTCTTCTGGACTCTTCCCCAGTTGCGGTCTCCCCTCCTGTCGAAACGCGCACACCCACACTCGTCACGCTAGCCAGACCTCTGCCACCCAAGTCTTAATACTCCGTATATCTGAGATATTGCTTGAATGAAGGACATTGTCTGCTTGCAAGCTTGTCCGTCTCGTCTGGTATCGCATCGTGCATGTCCTCTCACGGCCCCTACCACGTCGTCCCGAATTTTACCGCCTGTTCTTTTGTAGCCACGATCTCCGCTAGAGCCTCAGTTGGCTTTCTGTCTCGTGTTCTGTCTCGTCCAGTTTCTTGGTGTCCTGGTGTCTTGGAGCTGCTGGTGTCGTGTCTGGCGGGCGTTTCCTGTCTCACGCCTCCCCCTGTCCCCTAACCGACCATTTCTCTTCCACCACCATCCACACTCTTGGCCCCGAAATCCACTCTGCTGTTATTCGCCTTCGTGCGCCAACGCGAGGGGTATTTGGCATTTGTTTGCAACGTCGCTGCTGGGTTTGCGCAACCAGAGGCTTGTGGACAAAGTGGCTGTCTGCGGCTGTCTGCGATAGCAGTGAAGCACGCTCTATCGCCTGTCTTCTACAGACTATTGTATCGTGCATTTTTCCAGTCTTCCATTTTCTAAATACGACATACACCGTCCCTGCTGCACCTCTTGTCTATTCCTGGATCCTGGTGGGTGGCCTCGTGCGGAGGACAGACATCGATCGCCGCATCTGACCACTTCGCTCGCCTCGTTGCCTTTTACACACACAAGCACATGTGTAGGACGACACATACTTTTGTACACACACCACATTTGTACGCTACGCATCACACACTCTCTCCACATCCACGCGTGCCTGCACACACACCCCGTTTCTCGTGCTGCTCGTGCTGCTCGTGCTGCTCCTTCACACGCGCTTTTAACAGATCGCTGTCTTTTCATCTGACACAATCTCCGACGGCGATAGTTGTGTTGTCGACAGACATTTAGAGCCACACTCTGGTGCATCTTGACTTGCACTCCAACCATTGCGACCGCACGGTTCTGCCTAGCCTTCCCAGTCACCGTACAGTCCGCGCCGTCGCCGCCGAACCCACCTTTGCTTATCAGGCCCATCCTCGGACAAACCCCAAGCTGGCGCTCTTGGTTTGTTTGTCTGCCCCTCGTGGAATCTTCCGTAGCTTCGCGCGCAAGTCCCTCAAGGCCTCGACCGCTCCCCTTTACCTGCCTCAAGGACCCCCGATCGACGTTGCTCGACGACTGAGTACGTGCTAGACATCACCACGACCTTGACAGCTGGAACGACGAGCTAGACGATGTAGAGGACAGCCGCGTGCGACGTCCTCGTTGTCCCCCTTCTGCCGACAAGTTTGTCGTCTGAGCTTGCGTCACCTGCGTCACCTAGCTCACTAAGTCACTTGCAACACCCGCAGCCAACATTCCCGCACTACCACAGTTGTCGCCCGTTTTGTTTCTAGCGTAGCCTCCGTCCGTCAACCCTTCAAAACGTTGGGCGAACGAGCCAACCACTTAACACGCAAAGGACGCCAGGCCACGCCAAAAGAACGGAACGGCGCCAGGCCCTTTCAGTCCTTCCCAGACGATCCCGCATCTCCTCGCTTTTCCTCTGATCTCCTCTCGTTTGCCCGTCTTGCCTGCCCTGCTGCTTTGCCACCCCTCCTCGCCTCGCCTGGCGCTCTCTGCTAGTGGCGTTTTCAGCCTTCCTGGCGCGCTTCTCCTCCTTGGGAACCCTCCGAGTTTACCCCCCTTCTTCCACCCCCTCCACCAGGCAATCAAGTTCCCCACAAACGACGAGTAGCAGAAAGCACTTTGAAGCTGCCCGCTCCGTGCTTTTCGCCTTGCTCTTGTTGTGCTGGTTATCTCTTGTTCCTCTATTCTCGCCAGCTTCGGTCGCTCGTTCCACTCCCTACCGACCAGAGGCACCGTTCCAGCCAATCCCTTCTCGAGAAACTGCCCCTTTTGCAGTCCAAAAAGAATACGACGGTGAGGCCGGAAGCTCCTCGTACAGAGAATCGTCAGTCCTGCGCACCATCTGCAGCTCGGCTGCAGCACTCTGCGCTATCTCCCGCGCAACCCTTCTTCTGGCCGATCGTGCCTCCTCTTCTGTCGCAAAGGGGCTCGACCGTTCTGCCGCCCGCTCTGTTTTTCGTTTGCCCTTCCCACCAGCAGCAGCAGCAGCACCACCACCACCAACCACTACCACCACCTTAACTGCAACCAACACCCCCCCTTGTATTTCTTATTTCTCCTGCTAGATCGTCGAGTAAAAGAGTCCACACATCCTTTATCCTTTCCCCGGTTGCCTTGTTTGTCGCCGCCGCCGCATTCAACTCTCTCTGACGTATACACAAACAAAACCTGTCGACTGCAAATTCCTTTTCGACATTCGCGCGCCTGCTCGCTACATGCACGTAAGGCCTTGTTGATTGCTTTCCTCCTTACCTGTGCTGTCGATTCTCTTAATCTTTTTCTTTTCTATTTGCTTGCCGATTCTTCCTTCCATCGTTCCCCCTACTTGCGTCGTCGCTGTTGTTTGTTTGCCTTGCGTTGAAAGTTCCCACCACCCCCTTTCTCCCCTGTCCTTCCGTCGTGCATCGACCTACTGCGCGACGCATACTCCCGTCGTTCCTCAGAGGGTCTCGCCTTGGTTTCCGCGCGCAGCATCGCTTCCCACACCGTCCCCAGACCAACCCAACTACATCGCGACACGTCGTTGCGCAGACCCATTTGACGTGATCGAACATTCATCGCACCCATGTACTCCGCACAGCCGAACGGCGTTGACAGTGCTACTATCAACCCTGCCGCCCTTGCTTCTCCTGGTATGTTGATCGCTTTACTTTCTTTCTGCTCCAGACGCAGTCCAGAGTGCGGGAGCACGGGGTTTTCTTGCAAAATGGAAGCCAGGCTTCCAAGTACTTTCGTTCTATCGCGCCCGCACGCCGTCGTCCTCGGTAACCACTAATGTCTACGGAGTACGCTGGATCTCGGACGGCGGAGTGCGCGTTTGCGCGTTTCCTGCCTCATCTTGCCTTTGTTGTTTTTGCCGTCTCTGGTCTTTTTTTGCCTCTCTTGAGCCCTTACGGTCTGCCGCGCCAGTCGTCGGCCGCTCTCTGTTGCTTTCTTTGTTGTTTCTCGTTGGCCTCATCGCTAGACAACAAGACGGCGCCGGTGTTTCTTTCCCCTCATTTCGTCACCATTCTCGACCTGCCCAGGCGGTCCTGGCGTGACCTGGCTTCTCTCTGTCCTTGCTTTCTCTTCTTCGCTGCATCCTTGCTTCCTTGCTTTTTTCGCGGAGCTTCTACACCGAGTCCCCTTACTTGTGCGCTTGCTTTTTTATTTATTTATTATTATTTTCTGTGTCCTCTTTCCATCCCTTGCGACCGCTCGATCCGCACTGGCTATCGCTCATCAGGCATGGTGGAACTATAAACGGCAGGCCGAATCGCATTCTTGCGGTTACGGTTTCTTGCTTCTCGTTTCCCCTTCCTTTCCTCGTCATTGCGTTTTGGGTCTTTGATTTTCTGTGTTACCTGGTACACTCTTCCGTTTGCCTCTTTCATCCCGTGTTCATGCAAAACCTCCGCGGCTGCACGCGAATCGTTTCCAAGTATTCGGACTGCTGTTCGAAGGCGCGTGGCAAGTAAAGGCTATTGCAGTATTGCTGTTGGGGTTCACTTGTAGCACTAGCCCCCCGCTCGCTCTGCATTGCTCTCAGCCTCCCCTCCCACCAGAGCACTTTTGTCTTTGTTGTTCCCACCCTTCCCGCCCTTTCCGAAATGACCAACCGGCGCACGAACATCTACGACCTGCTCTCCGACGACTACAATACTGATGCTCAACCGTGACCAGATCTTGCAAACGCATCGCGGGGCTTGAAACGGAGCCGATCACCTGAAGGCTACCACAACGCTAGCCAGCAGGGTCCCCTGGGTGAAGATAGTACGTTGTCCTGCCATCGTTTTTGTCCCGCTCCATTCCCAAACCCGTCGTGTTTACCGACGGGTTTACTTTTGCTTTCAGCAAACGCGACGGGGGTGTCTGATTGGAAAATTTCGCTAACACTCGCTTCTTTCTTTCGCAAACAGGCGACAAGCCGAGAAAGAGAGGCCGACCTACCAAACCCACGAAGCCAGGTAGCATCATTGAAACGCCGATTCAACCGCCGGCTGTGCCGCCATTGTCCAACATGTCCAGCCAGCCTCTTCCTCCTCATGCGCAAGCGCAGCCGGCGCACAGTCCGACGCATCCGCCCCAGCCCACCCAGGCGCAACGCTCGTATGTGCCCCCTCCGATCCAACCCCCGGCCGCCTCGGCTGCTGGAGCGCCAGGGCAGGCTCCCCCTGCCCAGCCTACTCAAACCTCGCCTCCTGCGAAGACGCCTGCGAAGCCGACCCTCAAAGCCCTGCCCACCGTGCGCGACCACACTACAGACCAGCTCGGTCCCGGAAACGACGAATATCTACCGCGTGAAATTGACGAATCGGGCGAGAAGAAGGTTCTTCCAAATGGCCAGCTGCTGGGCGGTCGCGAATACCGCTGCCGCACGTTCCTGGTTCCCCAGCGTGGCGACAAATTGTTCATGCTTGCCACCGAATGCGCCCGCGTCCTCGGCTACCGCGACTCGTACTTGCTGTTCAACAAAAACAGATCACTCTACAAAATTATTGCAAACCAGGTGGAGAAGGACGACCTCGTCGGCCAGGAAATCCTGCCCTTCTCGTATCGCTCGCGCCAGATCGCTATTGTCACCGCCCGCAGCATGTTCCGCCAGTTCGGCAGCCGCGTTATCGTCGGCGGCCGTCGTGTCCGTGACGACTATTGGGAGACCAAGGCTCGTAAGCAAGGTTTCACGGAGGCCGATATGGCCGGTGAGAAGCGCCCTGGCGGGACCAAGGCGCGCGAGGCCGCCGCAGAGGCGGCTGCGCAGAGCGCGCCCATCATTGGTCAAGCACATCCAGAAATCGTCTACAGCAATACGGGCCAATTCGGCGCCGCGCCGCCTACCCAGCTCGTCCAGCCGGAGTACAACGATACGCGGAGCCGCGATTACTCGAGCATTTTGAAGACCGGTCCCCGACAGGAGATCACTGGCCCGGCATACCAGGACCGCTCGCAGCCGGCCCCGATTGGCGAAGTCAACGCACAGGCACACCATGCGGCCGAGTTCAACAAGTCCATCAACCAGCAGCGTGATATGCGGAACGACTACCTTCAGAGCATCTGGCGTCGTCCCCACGAGCAACCGCCGCCGCCAGCTAGCCTCACTCCGCAGCAGGTCTCAACCTCGGAGTCTCTGCCGTCCAGCCGCTCCGTCACTGGGGCCACGTCTGCCGGCGGTATGGTCCACCACAGCCCGCAGATGATGATGTCTGCTGCTCCGTATTCGCAGTCGGTCACCGCCCAGAGCTCCCTGCCATCGTCAATACAAAGTATGTTGGGTTCGCAGGATCGCCATCTTCCGCACCCCAGCACACTGCTAACGAATGCAGGACCCACTGGCGGTTTGTCGCAGCCGCAGGGCTATAGCTACCCCCAGTCGACGCAGATGTGGCCCCAGACACCCCAGACACCTCAGTACAGCTATGGACACCCGTCGTCCGGCCCGTCGTCGCACCAGCAGCACCAACAGGCGCCACCGCCGCCACCCTCGTCGCAGCTGCGCCACTCGAGCAGCGGTGGGCAGGTCCCTCCGAGCAACATGCCCTACTCGGGCATGCCGGGTATGAGCCCTGGCTATCCCTCGCAGGGCCAGGGTATGCCTTACGACCAGACGCCTCGTCAGTATATGCACCCATCCGGCTCGGGGTCGCCGGCTGTCACACAGGGCTGGCAGGGACAGCCCCAGGCATCTTCACAATGGTGGGCAAACCAGCAGCAGTAGGTGTTCATGCGGTGGCTCCATCGTGATCAGCGGCTGCAAGACCGGAGTGTATACGACGACTCGGAATAACCGCCACCGTCATTTGCGACAATGTATCGGATCACAATACCGTCATACAGCGGCGGTTGTATAGGGATTTCAATCGCTATGGACAACGACGACGTTCACGACTATTTCGCAGAGGAAGCCGCTGGGGGATGTCGGGCCTCGCGACGATAACGACTTTGACGAAGACCGGCCTCGTTTTATTATTCCCCTTTCTAATTCGACCGATTTTTTTCAAGCAAGCGGCGGTATCCTACATTTTTTTGTCCTCTTTTTTCTTTTCTCTTCTTGTTTACTTCTTATTTTACCCGCTTTTATTCTTTATTTTATGTTGATGCAACCTGACTCATCCAAGGTTTTTTTATTGCACATGATTCTCTCAGGCTATTGGCGGATATCTGTGATCCGGGTTTTATTGCGTTTTACCTCGTTTTGTTTTTCTTTTGCTACCACGCTTCACTTTTCAGATTGGTTCTCTTTTGGCTTTGTTTTTTGGGAGGCCCAGTCATTGTGCTTTGGCATCTGGTCCGGGTTGGAATTAGAGGAGTCTTTTTGGGTGGATTTCTCTATTTGTTTCCTGGATTGGGGGTTTTATTATATCCTTTTTATTACCCTGGGTTGTGGAGGTTTCTGTCTCTTTTTCTATTTATTTTCATTTATTTTCAGTTGTCATCACGTTTTTCTATGCCTGTTGTGCTTCTGCCACTTGGCTTTCTCCCATTTATTCCGTTTATTGTCCGGTTTTTTGCTTCTCTTTCCTCAAATTTCTTTTTGTGATTCCCGCCGTGTTTTGATTCCTATTGTTTCCTGAACAATCTCAATCGTTTGTTGCTTTTTTTATTTCTACATCGTGACTTGAGGAAGGGATAAACGGGCTGCATTCCGGAGATCACGCTGAACGGCCGCTGTTTTCTTTCTTTCTTTTTTAATACAGATGATCCGCTTGGGGATAGCGCGTGTGTGTCTACAGGCACAGCTGAGTTGGCTATCGTCTTTCCATTCTGTCGCCTCTGTCGGCTCGTGCAGCACTCGCAGTGTTTTTGTGTATGTCACCGGCGGCTAGCCACAGAAAATTTGTGTCTTGGATCGAATGCCATTCGAGACATACAGACGCCGCTGCACACGGAACCTTCCACGAGGGAATCAACAAGTGAGCATCACATACTGCACTTTTGCATCTCCCTCACACAAGACAAACCACACATCCCCACAACGAAGCACACGGGCATGAGTGTTCCGAGACAGCCTTTGTGCATTCATGATATCTGTCACACATCTCATCCCTATCGAGAACACAAACGCCATTCTTTTATTCGTACGGACTGATCTTTGATTCTTTATTACCCCTCGCAGACGCATTTGCATGTTATATGGGTTGATACCATTTCTGCTGTGATAGTTGATTGTTCTTATTCGCTTTTACCTTCCTCTGCCCTCTTTCTTGTATTGTCTTGCTGGTTGTTCTGTTCTGCCTTGTATTTGCAGTCTTGCTTTTTCCAGGTCCTGGGTTGGATACTTGGATTTCGACTTGGGCTCTCCTTTTCTCATTTCAAACTTCATCTGATCCCTCCCTCTTCGAGGCTTTTTCTCTTTCTTCACATTCTCCTCTTTTATTTTACTTCTACTTGTCTGAGTTTATCGTTATCGCAGTTTTTAAATTCACTCAATATGCTCTCAATCCTTGTCGATGAGCTTCGCCGTGATTATGCACGACAAACACAATGCGTGCAATTGCAACTATTTGGTTAGTTCCCCGGTTGATTGTACTACGTATGCGTGTGTTATCTGTGAGACGCTGTCTTTTATATTCCGAAAATGTCGCTGCTTTTTCCCCCCGCCGGCCATATATTCGTACATATCTCGTTAGAGCCAATAATCTATGATTTATCTATGGTTTTGTGTTGCTTTCTTGCTGCCGCTCATCAGCAGAAATGACAGCCGGCGTGCTGTCGGAGAACATCAGCTCCCACACGCTTCGTGGCGGGCGACCCTCGGCAGCCGCCTTGTGTGTCTCTTCTTTCTGCATTCGCATATACTCGCCAAAGGCAGAGCCAGCAGCTATGCCGGCAAAATGCGTGACGACATCAATGACGTGTTTCTCAGCACGCAGCGTCAGCAGGTTAAGGCCCAGCATGAGGCCAATGAACCCGAGACCCTGGATACCGGTGTACGGGTCGGGCGGCAGGCCCAGGATCTTGAAGCCCTCAAACTTGTGCAGCATAAAGTATGCTGCGGCGATGCCGTAAATGGCGCCTGACGCGCCCAGCGTCGTAAGGTGCAGGTTGTTGCGCAGCACAATGTTCGTGAGGCTCGCTAAGAAGGCCACCAGGCCAGAGGAGAAGTACACCTGCAAGAAAGCCGGCCGGCCGATCTCGTCATGCAGCCGCGTGCCAATGAACCAAAGGAAAACGACGTTGGCCAGCAAGTGGCCCGCCTTTTGGTGCGAAAACATGGCGCCGAGCAAACTGAGCGGCCGTGGCGTCGCCGGCACCACGATCATGTAGCGATTGAACAGACGCCACAGCGGCGGGACGCGCCACATAGCAAAGACGACGACGTTGGCGCCGATGATTGTGAGGACGGTGGCGGCAGAGGGCGAAATCGACGGGAACAGGCGGCCTGCGCTGGCCGTGTCCGTGCCGCTGGCTTCCAAGTAGCGCGTGACAAGGCCGCCGCCAAGCACTAGCGCAAGCACAGTTGCGTACGACGGCCACAGGCGCTGCCAATGGGACATGGTCGGCGGCGCTTCCAGCGGCGACGTCGCGGCCAGCGCATATTGCTTCGTCCGCGGGCTCATCTCGCGGGCCACACCGGGCACGCCCACAGTGGGCGCGCCATCCGGGCCCACCAAGTCGCGCGACTTGGCGGCCTGCTCCGCCCATAGTTTCTCCTGCTCGGCTCGCCGGGCGGCCTCGGCCTCTTGCCGCTGGCGCTCGCGGATCTCGTTCTTGGCGCGGTTGCGGGCGCGGATGGCGTCAAAGGCGCCCACACCGTACACATCGTCTTTCGGCACCTCGCGGAACAGGCGGGAACGCCACTTGGTTTCACTGGCGCTGAGCGGGCGCGTTGCCGGTTTCTGGTCCTGGCCGTCACCCTCCTCTTTCGAGTGGGCTTCGACGTAGGCCTGTTCGTCTGCTTCCGTCTTGGTAAGCCACTCGGCCTGCTCGCGCTCCATGGTGGCCAGCTCGTCCTCGGCTCGCAGGCCTGCGTTGATCAGCTCGTCGACGGGGGTCGTCCGGCGCAGGTAGGCCAGTGCGGTCTCGATCTCGGCTGGCGGGAAGCGTGCCGTATTGACTCGGAGAGACGGATCGTCGAGCGTGCCGGCGACCCGGCGGCCGTGCAGGATGCGCAAGAGGGTGTTGGCGGCGACCGGGCTCATGCCAGGACCAAACACCTCGGCGACCTCCTTGGGCTCGAGGTCGCCGCGGCGGCGGAACGGAAGGCCTTCGGCGTCGTTGTAGTCGGGAGGAAGGTCGACATACTGGGTGGTGACGGACGATGCGGAGAAGAAAGTGCGGACTTGCGCGCGAGTGGAGTAGGTGTACGAGAGGCGAGGTCGAGAAGTGGTTGTGCGTGGTGATACAGTGCGAAGGGGTAGCCAGTAGTGGCACGGCGAACGGGATGCAGTGCGACTTGTAAAGCGTATGGACGGCAATGGAGAACGGCCGTGAGAGCGTGTGTGTGTTCGTATTGCCGTCGAGGCTGTCAACGAGAAAACATGTTGTCGTTCGAGAACCGCTGGTCTTGCGGTCACTGGCTTCTGGAAGGCGCAGCGAAGCCCGTGTCGTAGGGTGCTCATTGTTTTGTCAGAGCCCCCGGAATCGGTGTTGTCGTCTGCAGCAGCGTCCTGCTGAGCGTGGAGGTCATACAGACTGCATGGCTTTTCCCGGAGAGGTTTTTCGTGATTCGTTTTCTAGTCCGGTCTTTTACAACGGCGATACCCGATAGCGGCAAGCCGTGTTAGCGGAAAGAATTCACAGCTGATTTTCGCATTCTTCGGCCAGTAAGTTCTCTGTAGTTTTAGCTTTTAGGCGGTCGGAGTGGCTGGATAGAGGGGCTGCTGGTTCTTCAAATAGTCGGTATTTCGATTTTCCGGCGCCTATGCCACCCTTTTTGTCCCCCGGGATTCTGGAATACAGGGGGATGGGCGAGCTACCCCACCATGCGACGGAAAGCTCCAGGCAGCTTGGCCGCGAGTGCATAGGCCCGCCACTGTGAGAACGTCACGGTCTTGTACAGGACTACATCCAACCCTCGGAGCCGTGCTCGCCCTTTCCTCTCGTTTCTCCTTTTGTTTCTCTATACACGCCCACGTCTGTCTTTCACACATCTCAGTCACGACCACACTTCCATACCCAGCCATGTCTTCCGAAACCCAGCCCATCAGCCCTGCTCGTTTCGCCGATGCCATCAAGGACCTCTCGCTCGCCTCGCTGCACTTCAAGGTCCTCGAAATCCGCAACGACGTGGCTCACCTTGACTACTCCAACGAACAGCTGCTGCCATACGCCAAGGGAACTGTCGCTGCTCTGGGCGCCACCCCTAGCGAAAGCCCCGAGCCCGACCAGGACTGCATTGACGCCATCAAAGAAAACCTCGTCGTCATCGAGCGCAAGCTCAACCAGCTGCGCCTCGTGCGCGCCGAGGTCGAGAACCGCGGCGTCAGCTGGACCGAGTTCCAGAGCAAGGAAGAGGCCGAGCAGGAGCAGGTTGAGTCGGACCAGCGTGCAGAACGGACAGGCTCGGCGCTGGCGGCGGCACGGCAGCCGACGGCTGCAACCAACGGACACACAGCCACGACGACCAACGGCCATGCTGGTGCCGGCTCGACCGCGGCCACAACCACAACCACGGCCGGCAATCCCTGGACAGATGGCACCTTTCAGACGGGCACCATTCGCAATGGAGAGGTTCAGATGGACTCCATAGCTGGCCAGTCGTTTGCATCACGCAACACTGGCGGTGGCAGCCTGACGGACGAGCAGCTCCAGCAGGCCCTCGAGGAGCGCCTTGGTCTGTCATCACACAGCGGCAGTGCTAACGGAATCAACGATGACGATGAAGAGGGCGGCCTGCACTTGTGAGCGAGGACGACTGCTGGAAATACTCCCATTAAAAGCAATGCCCTTCATTGTGTAGGACTTTGGCCCACAGCCCTACCTGGACAGTGCAACGTCACATTGTCCCGGCTTCACAAAAAAATCACAAAAGAATCACGAAAAAAGCTTGCTTGGAGAGAGACGACCGCCGTGTGACACGCGCCGGGTTTCAAAGTAACGTCTTACACTTGGAGACGTGTGTACCTATTGTCCACTGGCAACGCCCAGCGTGAAATTGCCTGGAAGGTACTGTTAGCAGCTTTCCAGCTTCGAGACGACAATGCCGGCGACTGTGTTTTTTAGAAACAATGTCCCGGCATCTGTGAAGGGCTTTGAGCTAATTTTCTGTATGTCGTCATATTGGGCTCACAACCTTTCTCGGACAACAGCACAACATGGACAGCGTTCGAACGCTACAACGCTGCTTGTTTGCACTTCTACACCTCCCCTCGCCGAACTGTTGAAATTCTATTTAAAGTAACAGTCTTGCGCATCATGACCTGTTACGGCTGTCCAGCTGGCAAGCTGGACCTTGATCTTGTCCCTTGGCTGACGAGAAGGAGGGGTTGATACGAATGTTCACTGGCGAGAAATGCGAGATATGCGGAAGCATAACGCCAGCTTACCCCAGCTCACAAATGCATCTAAAACACGACCCAATCCGATTGGTCGGTATGTTGCCCATCCCTGGAAGGCCTTAGCAATGGGTCCGACGTACATTCAAGTACCGCAAACGTGTCGAGTCGCCTAACCTAGCACCATGCACCCATGCATCATGCCGGTACGCAGTTAAGCAGGCAAGCAAGACGAGCGGACAAGACAAACAAACAGATAGCCAAGCTTTGTGTAATGTGGCATGTCTTCTTATTTTCTCTTACATATTGGTGTGGTGCAGCTTATGACCCGACATGGCCCTCTCGTTTTCAGACAGCCTTGTCTATATTGGGGACCTTGTGACTGGGCATAGCGACATCTTTAATTATTGATATTCGATTGCCTTTTTCATTTCTTGAACTTCCATGTACCATCATGCTCTATGGTTTTGATTTCTCACCACGAAGCTTTGACCTGCGACTCTCACACCGCCTTTATTTTTCAAGGGTCGAGAATTAAAAGACCTCTCAAGTCGTGGTTTCGTTTTTTTCGTATTGCTCACAGAGTGCTTGGCACTTCGTGTTCTGCCGTCCGTCAACCAGGGTCTGCCGATCTTTCAAGCCTGCCAATCTGAAGAAAGACATCAAAATATGAAAGAAAACAACCTCTGTGGTACGCTCCTTTGTTCTTTTCCCACCCATCTCGGTCGTTATGACGGCATCGGCCTCTTTGCCATGTTCGGCGGCGGGGAAGGACAAACGACGATGAATTATCGTGAAGGTATGACCGTCATATCTTGGGGCACCTCGTGATGATTTCTGACTTCTGACTCTTGTCCACCTTGCCTGTTTTTCAACTGGATACTGGTTCCATCTTACTCGACGAAAACCAGGACCCGAGGCGCCGATCCCAAGGCAGACACGGCTTGGGCACGCAAGATAGTTTGCCATCCGACACAACACACGGCTTATAGGCTTTCTGGTGGTTGCCGAGCCAAACTGCAGGTGCGCATCTCGTGTTGGCCGATCGGTGTGATGGATGTCCCGGACACTCTGTGTTCTTGTATACGGCGCATGTTTGGTAAAGAGCAACCAGGGGCTCTATTGTCGAGGCTTTTGGCCTTCTCTGTGTCTCAACTCTGTGATTTTGTTGCCAACCTGATTTCAACTCATAGAACTCAAAAAGGCGACGTCAGTCAAACACACAACTATAAAATATGGTGTCGTCTCCCGTCCTTCACATCTCAAAATCATGGCCCCCATCCACATCTCAGCCTCACTCCATCTCAATTTCCAATCTACCTCAGCCTTTATTTCACTCTGATATACATCACCACTCGCTTATACCAAGCCGGCTTAGTCAATTACCCGCTACCTTCAACAAACCACCGTCGTTACCAACATGAAGTCATTCGCTTCCCTCGTCGTCGTCAGCCTCTTCGCCGGCCTAGTGGCCGCCGTGCCCACGCCGGCAGATACTGCTCCGCTCTGCGGCACCACATACTATCCGACCATCCTTCAGCAGCTGTCAGAAGCGTCGCCCAACACCGTCGGCGCCAACACGGCCGCCACCAGTGGCGACTTCCATGTCAGCCAGACGGTCATCACCGGCTCTCCCTCGGACCGCATCTACCAGCTTGTCGGCTTCCAGGGCATCCCCTCCGGCTCCTTCGGCTGTGAGCTCGCCCTCACCTTCCCGGCGGGCTACCCCATTACGTCGTCTGTTGGCGGTGTGGCCGGTCCTACGCCCATGCTCAACGTCACCACAGTGCTGCGCAACAACCCGAGTGCCATTGCATACCCCAACGGGTTCACCTTCAACAGTTTCCCCACCCAGCTGGGGCCCAGCCAGGGCCCGTTCGGGACCGTGTCCGCGGCTGCCGGCACAACGGTGTCAATCAACTCGGAGAGCTGCGACAGCAATCTTGCCTTTGTCTTTAGCATTGCCTCGTGGACGGGAACATCGGCTGGTGTGGAGTTTGCAGAGCATAAGAGCCCTCTGGCGGGCGTTTACCTGACTGCGAGCTGTTAATTGGTGGAGATGGAAGGGTTGCGGACATATATCGAACTGCAGACAGTTCCGAGATTATGACTGCCAAATCTATTGAGGATGGTTTTGCTTTCCTTTTCTTTATTCATTTGTTTGTTTTCGCCTGCCCGGCAAAGTCCTCTCCTTTACAGTCGCCTACCTTTTCGATCGGCTACGTAGTCCTCTCTCGCTCTTTAACATATGGCTAAGAAAATATGTGCCCTTGACACTCATTTGTGACATCAATATATTGTTCTGATATTTCACCTTACTACCCAGACCCAGACCACTCGTTCAAATACATGCTTCTATGATTTATATGCAATCCTCCATCCTTCATATGAAAGTCATGAAACGTTGTACATCGCCTTTGGTTTACAGCTTCTCGTTTGAGAACACATTTAGCTGGAAGTGAAGGTCGAGTTGAGCGAACCGATCTGTCGTTTGCTTGTTAGCGGACTGACACTTCACAATATGCTGTACTATTACGACATGAGTGGACAGTCAACATACCTTAATGTTCGAGTAAATGACTGAGGCATCAGGATGGGCGCTCTCGACGGTCTTGGGGTCGCCAGCAGCCGGGTCGCAGCGCCCGCGGGCAACACCCGGGTCAGTAGCGGGCGAAGTCGTCGGGAAGTTGCTGTCGAGCCAGTTCATGGAGACCGCGTGGTCGTCCCACACGCTCAGAACGAGGACCATGTTCTGCAGCGACTTGCCCATGCCGGCGAGGCCGCCGACTGTGGCAAAGTAGTTGTCGTCGCCAAAGGCCGTCTTCTGCTGTTTGCAGAAATCCTCCGAAATGTAGTTGACGGGATCGACACCAGTCACGGCTGCGTCGCTGTTGGGGATCACTTTGCCGTCCTGTACATAGAAACGGTTGATTCGAGAGAGCGTGCCCGTGTCCGTGCCGTCGTCCGTGACAAACTGCGTGACGATCGTAAAGGCCTTGCTGGAATCGACCGTCTTGCCGGTGCCATAAAACTCCTTGTTGCCCATACGGAACGAGTTGAAGTCGCAGCCGTCGGGATCGCACAGGCCCGAGTGGCGGTTGGCGTCGCCAGCGCCACAGTCTTGCTCGTTCTCGCAGCGTGTCTGGGTCGACACCTTGCACGGGTGTGGTGTGTAAGCTGTGGCGTCCAGGTTGGCCTCCCAGATGTCCATCTCGGCACAGCACGAGCCGTACGAGCCGGAGCCCGAGTTGCCATCAGTAGCACTGCCGGTCCAGCCTTCGACGTTGGCCTAGGGAAGTTAGTATGTCATGGGCGCGGAAGAAGCAAAGAAAATAAAACAATAAAACAATAAAAACATTACCTCTCCTAAATAAAAGTTAGTGATCATGATAGCAAATAGTAAATAAAACATGTGTGGTCAACCGTACGGGACGGTACGGGCCGAAATGGGCCGGTACCGGTCGAAATAGGAAGGTACGGACCAGCCATCGTGATATGACCATCACGACACCTAAAAAGCTTCAAAAAAAAACACCGTTACGCACCATTGATGAACTTTATGTCACGAGGGCATTGCGAGTCGCAGTAGCCCGTGCCGTACTGGGCGCCGGCCTTATTGCCCGGGTAGGCACTGAGGCCGCCGTCCTCGAGCATCTCGCTAAAGTACACGGCACCGTTGAGGCCACAGGGAAGGTTGCTGACGTCGACGTCAAAGGTAAACTCCTTGTTGAGCAGGTTGAACATGCGGTACTTGCTGCCGTCGCCGCCGGCCGTCAGGTAGACGCGCGAGCCAACGTTGGCGCCGTTCTCGTTCTTGGTCACAAACTGCAGCTTCAGCGCACCATCGCTGGGCGTCGAGATGCCGTACGTCTTCTCGTAGTCGGCGCCATCAATGGCACAGTTTGCCGCGCAGGTCTTGCCGTCTGGACAGGCGGTGGCGTTCCACGTGTTGCCGTCGTAGCAGTTGGTGTAGCCGGAGGTTACGTGGGTCCAGCGCCAGTTGGCATCGAGGACGACGGTGGTGTCCTCCTTGGTGCAGCCCGAGGCGGTGCAGGACTGGATGGCCATGGAAGGGTGTTTCTCAGCCGTCAGGGTGCCAACCTGCTGGCCGTAGACGGCGGTCGCAAAGACCACGGCTGCGAACGAGCGGAACATTGTGGAGGGAAGAGGACGCCTGAGATGTAAAGGTGGGCAGAGAGCAATGGGATTGGATGGACAAGTATGAGGAAAGGGAGAAGATGATGCAGAGGATGGAGACGAGACTTGTTCAACTGCAGAGGCAGCAGACAGGACTTGTCTTTAATACTTTTCGAGTTGTTCTCGATGCATCTTGCTTCGAGCATGGCATCCTTCTAACCTTTTGCGTTTTCCAACTTGCACACAACGTGCACGGTTGACTCCTTCCGTAACCCCAAGACCGAATTGAACTGCGGAATGGTATCCCATGAACTCCTGTTGGCATCGACTCGCATCGACTCAAGCTAGCGTGGACCTCGTGATATTATCCTGGTCGGAAGCCGCCGTCTTGGCAATTTGCAGAGAGTACGTTATGACGGAACGGACATGTTTCTATAAATGAGGGTGAGGGATATCTATTCGCGTCATCTCAATTACAGACCGAATTGCGGTCCAAGCCTGCGGATCTTCACCAAAACCTTTTCGTTTGCGGTGTAAGTGAGATCCAGCCCTTTGCAATAATCACGAGGAAAAGGGGTATACACGCTTGTCCATGTTCCGCTCAAGTAGAATTAATATATTTAGGCAGGGGACCTTGAGGTACAATAAAGCTGCGATGACGAAGACGGCATTGCTGATCAGAAAAACAATCACGGTGATCTCTTGCATAATGCTACCGCAAATGGCGACGGAGTGGCAACACGAAGCTTGTAGCTACTGTGCGGCATGAACAAGATTGACCACTGCTGTATATTTGACACGAACCTATTCGCCGCTATTTCGGCGAGACGGTTCGTGGGCCCGTGATACAGAGGCCCGTAACCCGGCGACCTGGTGCGGTTCTCTCTACCCAAATCTTTGGTAGCGTAATTTGTTCGGCGAGCTTTGGCGTCTGGAGCGGATGTCTGTATATTCAAACCCTCCCATGATGGGGTGACGTTTGGGCCCTGGGCTGGAGTTGCGCCGGTCCTTCCGAAATAGGCAATTCCTCTTTTGGCGGGGAGGGCCGCCTCGCTCCGTTGCATTCTCGGGCTGTACCTTCCGCAACATTTTTCGGGAAGCAACAAATGCGGAAGAGCACAAAATACTCCGTAAGCCGTGAAGACACAGAAGCAGAAAAACAGGGAATTACACAAAATAAAATAGCAACACCAACATAACCGGGGGCGACCCAGCTCTTAAGCCCATGAACCAATTGCAACCCGGATACTTTGCTCGCAGCAACCCAGCGCAAAGAAGTATACCGGAGCGGCGGATGGTCAAGTCGCGGATGAACTTGTCGGCCTAATTGAGCATTCTCGTGTCGTGGTGGACGGTCTGTGACGGTCGGGCCTCCACACGTGATTTGACAGGTCGGCAGTGCGGTTTTTTCACGTCAGCCGAAATCGCCCGTCGCCTAGAATCACCTCCTGCGAACACGTTCACCTTGTCACGGGCGAACTAGACCGCCTCTCGCGCCAGGCGCCTGCCATTGTCAATTGCCAACGGGCTTCGCTTATTTATATACGTTTCTGTCTTCATATTCCCCAGCATGACGTCCCCACCGTCGTCCGAAGACGTGCCATACTGGCAGGTCAATATCCCCGTCGATCAACGCACGGCTACATGCCCCGACTTCTTGCTCAACATCAATGCCAAGGACAGGGGTATCATCAGCACGCGCCAGGAGGACTCTGCCCTCATGTCGTGGCCCGAGGTGCGCGCCGTGATCGCCGCCAACCAGCTGCAGAAGTTTCAACGCACACCGCTTGCCCTGCGCCGGTACCTAGAGTATTGCTGGGGCCTTAAGGAGAAGTACGGCAGCGCTGTCCACTTTGTGCTGCGGGAGCGGCTGCACTGGACGACAGAGGAGCTCGCAGCGAGGGTGTCCGCTGAGGCAGCAACGGGCCACGGCAGCATCCCCGACTTTTCGGACAGTAGCGATGTGAAAATTCTGTGCAACGACTGGCCGTATGGCCTCGACGAGCGCATCGTGCACTTGGTTGTGTGGACCAAGTTCCCACTGCCAGAAGACCCGACAACAGGCGACCTGACGGACGACGCGCGCGCTGCCATAGAGGCGTATGTCCAGCAAACGTTCCGTGCAGCTCTGCCAGCGGACAGCGTAATTTGGTTCAAGAACTGGCGGTCGCTCAAATCTGTGCTGCTGGTCGAGCACTTTCACGTCATGCTGTTTGACCCGCCGGTCGAGTTTGTTGCGCGCATCACCAACGGCGACGTGCCGCTAAGCAAACGGCTGGAGGGGGACGGACAGTAGATGCACCAACAAACAAGGGATAAACGATAGATCATAGCATGCCATAGAAAACAGATCGATAGATAGACACGGATAACGACAACGCATGACAACCCCTAGTGGGATAACAGTAAAAAGTAAAAGTAGAGGGAGAAACGCCCCTTTCTCACAAATGCTCTGCTCCCATGCGCACCTCGACGACTGGCGCATCTGCAGACGGGACCGCAATCGGCTTCTCCAGCGACACGTGTACGTACCACGGAGGCAGGTCGGGCCCTGGGAACGGTCCGTTTGGGCGGAATCTCAGCAGAATCAGGCGTGCAATGTGCGTCGCCAGGGCCTCGAGCGTTTCGAATTCCGACGTCTCCAGAATCTGAACGACAAAGGCCTCAAGCCGCGTGTACACGTCCTCGTACTCGGTAAACCGGTCAAGGGCAATGTCGGCCACAACGGCCTGCTTGGCCGTCCGCTCGTGGGGATGCACGCCGACAAGTGTGGGCACACGCAGCCGGTGCAGCCGCAATGTGTTGGAAGCGATCGGGGCTGTGCCTTTGGCTGCACGCGCCAAAACGCCCGCGGATGTCAGCGACACGCCCTCGCCGACCAGTGTGGCCTTGGGCAGGAGCACCGTCACCGAGAGGCTGCGCACCACAGAAGCAGAAAGGAGGGGCGGGTTCTGCGACGGGTCCTGCGACGGCGCGTCTGGCGAGCTTGGTTTTGCGCCCGTGGCCATACGGCCCGTCAAGTCAATCCAAAGGCCATCCAGAACGTGGAGCAGACCGGTGGGCGGCCGTTCCTCGTCCCAGCGCTTCAGGCTCTTGAGAACCGCTTTGCTCAGCGTGCCGTAATGGACCGTATCGCCTGCTACTTGGTCGGTATTGGCTGCCTCGGGGAACGGTGCCGCCAGAACGGCCTCGGCAGAGAGCACGGCAGGCTGTGGCCGGCCGTTACGGCCCCATGCATCCTGCCCAGCGCCGGGGCCAAGGGTAGCCTGCAGGCCGCGCACGCGGATGACGGCGCGGGGCTCGCCGATGGCGGCCTGGACGTCCCAAGCGGTGGGTTGGGGCATTGTGCATGTGTGGATGCGAGTAAACGAGATCACTGCACGGATGTTGCGCCAATCGCGGGAGATGGGCTGTGAAGAGAGAACACAGGGAAATTCGGTGAAACTGTGATTCAATGGAGGTGAAAATTGAGAGCATGCTAACCCATCGCCGCTACGCCGAACAGACAGAGTCTAGGGCTAAGCAAAAGTCGCTAAATACACCGGCTGCATCGAGCACTTACACAACCGGCCGACATCACCGCCACAAACGGACGGCGATGCTGCCGTACAATGGCTTCATTCGACTTTGCCTTTTCGGTGCATGTGCCCGCGGAGGCTTGCCAAAGAAATTCCAAATACCTATCCAGCTTTTATACCCTGCCGATCCAATCGACTTTCGACTTTACGGCGCACCAATGAATGCAATGAGGCTGGCACAGTCGACATACACAGCCTTCCTCTTGCAGCCAATGTAGCTGAATGTCACAACTAGGCACACCACCTGTAAGGCGTCTGTCACACAGATACATAAATACACCCTAATGAGGCGACGTCTTGAAATGGGATGCGTCCCGTTTATAAGGTCGTCCTAGGAAGATGGCTTCCCGTCTTTACAGTCCCGCATTTGCCATTACGACACGAAATTCTGTGGATTCACACAATCCGTGCACGTCTTGGAAAACAGTCTTGTCCAAATCGTCTACGAGACACCTGCAGCCATGCCTCGCACTGTCGCCCCGAAACATGGCGAGCTTTCGGGCTCTGACCGCCGTGGATACAGGAGAAACGCGTGGCATAACGACCGGCACTTAAGCAGGTCCCGAAGCAAGCACACATACAGCAAGGACGACAGCGATGATGTCGACTCGGAGGAAGAGTCCACGAAGAAAACGTCCATGGGATTCTTCTCCTTTTTCGTCCACAACCTGACCGCACCACAAGAAAAGCCCGACCGTCGCCGCAGTAGAGCCAGATCCCCTTCCGCCTTGTCCTACCATGCGCCAGTTGCTACTGCAGAGTACGCACCAGCTGCTCCTCGTGCAGCCCACGCTTTTGCAGCAGGCAGTGCAGCACCGAACGCGGCGGCCGCCGCATTGCACACACCCCCGGGGACCCAAGTGCCGGCTTGCGCAGTACCCGCTTCCATGATCCCTCCTCCTACCATATCGCGCGCGCCGGTGAGGAGCATCGCGCAGCCGCGCGACAATATCCCTCGCCACCCTGCCGTCGCCACGGCCCCGGCTCATCCTGCTGGCGGTCCCGTCCCAGCCAACACGGGCACCACAGCCGGCCGCACCACCGCCACGCCGCCCTGCTCGACACCGCGGGAGGAGGTCGACATTGTCATCCACAACCTGCACACCAACGCCCCCGGGACGTCGCGCGCCGTGCGCACCAAGCCCATGGCCGTGCTCCTATCCCATATGATGAGCATCATTGGCCGAGAAGGCGTGCTGCTGCACAGCGTGGCGGCAACGGCGCACAGCATCACGATTGTGCTGGAGGACGGGACACTGTGGACGAAACGGAAGGGCGGGTTCCGGGATTTTGTAAACGAGCTGCTGGCCATGGAGGCGGTGGACGGGAACGGAAGCGTAGTCACACATGACGATCATATCATGGCGCATTGACATGGGGCCGGAAAACCCAAAGAACGAGAAACGATGCACGCTATATAAATGAACCAAGACCGTCCAACAATCACCTGCGATGCAAATATTGTCCAGAACACCAAAATGACGTGGTATTATGCAGCCGTCGCACTGTCCTGTGCTACGTGCGCCCACATGCAGTAGCAAAACATGAAGAAACAAAACCAAAAGAGAGAATAGGTACCGCGGTAAGGTCCTAAATGCAACGCCAAGTGAACTCCCCGAATAACGAAATACATAAGGGGGCCAGACCCCTTCCCTATGAACAAAAAAATCATATGCCAAAGTTCGTGGGCTCTCCTGGTAGTAGGCAGAACAGCAAAGAACAGGGGATACGAATATATGTACAAGCGCCAATCCCATATGTAAAGAATACGAAGGTAATGCCGTCTCTCAGCACCGGTAAATGATGTTAATAAAACAGCAAGGTCTAAAACGTGCAACATGCCGCGCAGTAGTGTAGCGGGAGTACACGCTGAGAAATGGGACGTCGACAAAGCCTGATATATTTAGTCGATCAGAGTTGTCATGCCGTGGGGGACCGACCCTGGCGAAATCGTTTTGGCGTCGGATCCACGACGGCTACTCGACGACGGCGGAATGCGTGGTGTGGGATGCTCGAGTGACAGGGAGGACGGCTGCCGGATCTTGTCGATCTTATTGTCGAGAGCGCGCTGGATGGCGTCTTCCGAAAAGCGGTTCTCCTTACCAAGTACATATCGGTCGCGCGCGAGCGGGCTGCTGCCGGCGCTGTCACGCAGGCTCGGCAGCATCGAGAAGTCTGCGGACAACTGACGCTTGATGCTCTCGGGGGGCGACGAGAGGTCGGACACGTCGGAGAGCCCAGAAACATCTGTCGCGACAACGGACGCATTGCAGCCGGCGCGCTTGCCGCTGGTATTGACCTCTGGTGATTTCCCAGACGGCAATGGCTTCCGCTTCTTGACCTCGGGTGTCGAGGCAGGAATGTGCTTCGTGGCGCGGAACGTGAGTGCAATACTCTTCGTTGGAGCCTTCTCCTCCTTCTTGGCCTTGGTGACCTTGCCGTGCACCACGATGCGGCCTTGCGGTTTGCTGGCTGGGAGGGCATGGCGCTCTTTCTTGGCAGCCGTAGGTAGCTTCGAGGCCACAGCCGCCTTCTTGACGGCAGCGGGCGGCTTTGAGTCCTTCTGCTTCTCGGTCGCCGCGGTTGATTGGGCGGTCTTGTTGCCCTTCTTGACCTGCTGGAACGGAAGCTTGCTCTGCCGGGCCTCGGGTAGGCGCTTTCTGGCGGGTTTCGGGCTCGAAATCGGCGTCGGCATGGCGGCGGTGGGTGATGATGTTGATTTGGTGAGAGTCTTGGCCTTGCTAGGTGATTTGGGCAGAGCCTTCCGCGGGGTGCTGCTCGGCTCCTTCTTGGTGGTCTTCTCGCCGGCCTTGCTGGCACGGGGCTTGGCTGGCGAGCGGTCCTCTAGAACGACCTCCAGCTTCAGCGAGCCAAGGTCCTCGTCGCCGGTAACGCCCCAGCTGCTCGGGCTGCCCACATCCGGAGCATCCCAGTGCGGGAGTCCAGTCAAGCTTGCGACATCGTCACTGCTGCCGCGAACGATGAGGTCCCAGCAGTCCTTGAACTCGGCACCCTGCGGTTCGGGATCGACATTGATCCAAGCTGTAAAGCCGTCGCGGCGGCTGCGGGTCGTGTGGCACAGCTCCTTGACGAGACGACGCACACCAGGGATCTTGAGACTCGTGCCAACCACGATGACAGCGTCGGCGCCGCGGCGCAGATCCGCTTTCGACACCATGCCAATCGCCTCCTCGTCGGGGTTGTACTCGTTGTACAGAACAATGCGGGGGCGCAGACGCCCAATACCGTGGCTGCGCTTGCCGGCAACCGCTGTGCGCACCTCGTCCATAACAGTGCATTGAGAGCAGGCTGGCGCTTCGGGGCCGTCGAAAAGAGAGCCGTCAAAGTCCTCCAGCTGGCCGCACTTTGAGCAGACCATCTTCGCAAGGCCTCCGTGCAGCTGGACGGTGGTCGGCCACGGGCCCTTGACGTTGAGTGGTACGTTGGTGGCAAGCGGGGGCATCTTTGTGTCGATGCAATCGACGTTTTGTGAATAGAGGCGCATGAGGCGGCCCTCGTGCGCAATGGATGCAAGCATGTGGTGGAAAGGTGTTGGTACGGCCGCATCGGTCATGTGGGCCAATTCGCGGACCATCGAATGGAAGGAGGAGGTAGACGAGTCGTGCTTGTAGACAGAGGCGTCGAAGAGGTGCTTGCCGGAGCCCTTGAGGCCGTGCTGGCCGCGAAGGGTGGTGAAGAGGCCAGTCGAGGACCGGAAGTCGGGGACTGTACAAGGGTTTGTTAACATGCATAAAGGGGAGGGGGTCTGAATAGATCTGAACAAGGACGGTCGCAAGCCACATACTTCCTGCAGAGACGGAAATGCCAGCGCCAGCAATGACAACAATTTTCTTCTTTGTGCGGAGTGCCCGAATGAGGTATCCCAGTTCCTCTTCGCAAGCGTCGGAGCTAGCCATATCATTGAGGTCGAGATGCCGCGTCATTCGTGGGCGCTTCGGAGGGGGCTGCACCCGCCGCCTCTTTGCAGGCGGTGGCCCGTCGGCATCGGCATCGGCATCGCGGTCCATTTTGCGAGGAGACGCACCGCCCGACTGTGATGTTGCGCAGGGCGACGGATACCGCTTAGACGGGTCCAAGGCAAGCAAGGAGGGCGAGGAAGGCGGTGATGGGGTCTTTGAGAACTCGGAGAGCGGCGATGATGGCGGTGATGACGTCTCACGAGGTGGGCGAAGGGTCGGTGGTAATGCCGGCGACGACGCCGGAGAGGCTATTAAGTTGTCCATGGTGGCTGGGGATGTGTGCAGGACATACGCAAAGGAGGTGACGAGACGTTGGTGGAGAATGAGGAAGGAGGAAGCGAGAAATGCGTCGAGACGGGCAGGAGCGGCTACCTTTAACAATCGGAAGAAGGAAAGCGCGAGGGACAGGGAAATGAGCCTGGCTAGGGAGGAGGGACCGAAGACGAGCGATATGGATAAAAGCGTAGGAGAAAGGGGAATGGTAGGTAGTGGCAAGGAGCGAATGGCCCAAAGAGGGCCAAATAAAAACGAAAAGCAAAGCCGAGTGGGAGAATGGCTGGTTTATGTCATGATTCAATGTGTTTTTGTTCTGCGTGCGGCGGTTGGGTTTCTGCAGATTTTTAGCCTGGTTCCTTCTGTTCTCGATCGTCGTGATTTGGTTGGTCGTCGTTTCCTGTTTTGTCGACGTTTGGGAGGAAATGAGAGGAAAGGGGGAGAAATTGAGGAAGCGACGGGAGAAAGAGTGAGGAAAGAGCGGGCGAGGTAAGATATTTGACAGAAAGGGCG